TCTGTCCCTTTGAAATGAATTAGATTTACTACGCAACTTAGATCTATTTTGCCTGAAGTTCCAAAAGCATTTTAGCATAATTTTAGCAATATTAAAATTCTATCCAATTCTAGTACTAGCCTTTGAAAACAAAGCCACTGACATCTGTTTCAGAGCAATCAAATATTTATGAATCTTGAAAGTATTTTTGTCCATAACCCTGAATGCATTGCTATGTATATTATAGGATCAATAGCTAATTTTCACTTCCTACATTGTAAGAGTACTGGACAAATTGTCTTTATACCTCATAATTGGTGGGGAGAGTCTTTGGTTTAAATCTGAATTCCTGGCTGTGTCTGTCCGAAACTTCCCTCATTTTTTGCCTCTCGATCCTCATGAAAGCCAAGATCACCGGGGAAAAAAGACAATGGTTCTTGCCTACGACGTCTGCTGCTGACGACGCCTGCTGCTGATGGACTACTGATGGACTTTCTGTACCCTGTCGCAATAGACTATTTTGAACTGTGTCCCCTTCCCCCATTTCAAAAGGACTATAAAAAAGGTTAGGGCTGACTGATACCTTGGAGATCTCCCCTGACGTGAAGACAACAGGCCTCTTCGTCGACCGGACTTCGAGGGACTTTGTCATCTGCACGTTTGGTAGCTATACAACTCCTTGCCCTCCCTCTCTTCTTTCTCTTTTCCGTATTCTTTCCTTTTTCTCCATTCCCCTTCTCTCTAACGCATCTTTGCTGTGGCTATTCAATAAAAGTACATGTATTTTGATTTTACTGCAAATCCCCTTGTGTCAGTTTTTGCACCCTGAGACCAGTGAAAAAGAACCTTCACGAATCACGTCCTTAGGATGGATCGTGTCACTGGCAGAGTAAAAACAGGGCACAGAAATGTGCTGTGGTTTATAACACTGTCACCACTATGGTTCCTGCCCAGGAATCTTAGAAATTTTGCATTCAGTGCAGAGAAATCCCAGATGACACTTCATCAATAGAACTAGAAGAGAATATTTGGAATATAAAGCCCATGGCTCACACATGATGCCTCTGTTTAGTACTTGTTTGGCACAAGTAAAAACCTCAAAACTCTTTTTTTCTACAAAAGAAACAGAAGGCAAACAGATTCACATGGTTTGACTTCAGAAAAAAGTACTTTTTCTCCATCTTTATTTCAACTCATATGTAGTTAACCCTCTTTACTTTCTTTTTCCTTAACATCTTTTTCATTTTCTTTTTCCCTTTTTTTTTAATTTGGCAAAAAATTGTAAATCCATACTGAGTCTAGAAGAAAGTCTTGACTGCACAGAAGACACAATCAAACCAGCAACTGAATTACAAAGGTACTGAACTTAATTGCTTATTACCAAGATATAAACAATTCGTGTTAATGCAAGATCCCATTTTCACTGCAGCAAAAAACAGAAGCCAAAGCAGAGATTCAAAAGAAGCAAAAGAAACTTTCTACACTTGCAGAGAATCAGTGTACGGAATTGCAAGCAGTCCAATATTTTTTCATTAACTCCTAATTAGATAGTTCTATAAGAAGAATGAGTACTGTTGGATTATGCATCCTACTGCAAGTCCCCAGACACTTCCTGTATTGTTTATTTTCACAGAAGCAAAAGGATTTAATTCTACAGTAATTACTTACCAATTTTCCTCCAGAACAGAAGTACATTACATTTCCTACTAAATTGAAAATGGAATCTATCAAGTAGCTGCTACCTTGCAACTTACTGATAAAAAAGCGAATGAAAAATATTTTAAGAGGTTGTATTTATCTTTGAAAGGTGCCAAATCCAAAGCAACTGTTGGATGGGAGAGGGGAATCTATCAAGTAGCTGCTACCTTGCAACTTACTGATAAAAAAGCAAATGAAAAATATTTTAAGAGGTTGTATTTTATCTTTGAAAGGTGCCAAATACAAAGCAACTGTTGGATGGGAGAGACTAAGAACTGAGAGCTTAGGCATTTGTAGGATCAATGGGGATCTTGTTCAATACTCACTTGTCAGACTACAGTATGTATGTGCATCAATTTCCATTAAATATGACAAATTTATATATAACTATATATTTGTATCTTTCAAAACAAAAGTCAAGTCATTCATATTTTCCCACAAGTTTGAACATTAACCTTTCAATTGGCTTCTTCAGATTCTAATTGTAGTGTACTCAACTGAAATCAACACCAAGCAACATCTAGCAACACTATTTTTTAAAAATGCCTTTAAAGTTTTTCCTGACAGTGGAGTATTGGTGGTGGTTGACGATGTCTTGTCAAACTTTCAAGGCTGATCAAAAAGTCCTTTTTTCAACATGAGATTAGAATAGCAAAGATCCAAGCCTAAATTGGTGAACTAGTCTACAGAATGGAATAAAACCTCAAAAGGAATATGGAAGAAGCTAATGGAAAAATGAAAAGCACTCAAATGATTCAGTGAAAACACTGCTTTGAAAGTGGAGTCTTGAAAAATGAGGGGCCAAACCCCAGACTTTCCTTGAGAAGAGAGTTATATTTTCCTTAAAACTCTAAAAAATTATGACCAGTTTTAGCCAATTACCAAAATTTTAAGTCACTATCAGTCTTAGCAGCCCTATTTTTGAAACAAGGTTTTCTGAAATGTTTTAAAAGAACTCGGTAGATATTTTCCCAACCAACAGTACTTTTTAATAAAACTAATTCTAAAATGTCAGTGAATCTGAAATTTACATCTGAAAATTTCAATTAATACTTTCACTGAGGTTTATCTTGGTACACTGCATTTCAGCTTCCAGTGACTTCATGGTCACTTCAGGAGAGGAGTGTGGTGAGACCAAATTGATCTCTGGAGGCAGATCCACTTCATTCTTTGTGGATGCAGCAAGTGCACCGTATGCACTGCAGAGTACAGAAGCCTCTGCGTAGGGCTTTGGCTTTGGAGATGGCTTCTGTGGGCTGGACAACCCACACACAAGGTGTACCCACACATTCAGGGTGTGGGCATCTCCAGGTCAGCTTTCTTGGAAAATATGCTTAAATCCTGAATGCTGTGCCAATACATCTATCAGAGTGACTTCGGAGACAGAATGGGATCTCAGCCTACAGACTTGGAGCATGGCTAAGCTAGGTCATGACTGCTATCACCTGGCCCACCAGACGTCCAAAGATTTTTCAACTAAACTCTTAGGTACATCTTGTACATACAGGTTAACTTTTGCTTCTAGCTGTAAAAGTTGAGCTGCCAAAACAGATAGTGAGTTTCATGAAGTTCTTGTTCATTGCTTCAATACAGAATATGCTTAGAAAAGACATGAAATTATGGTCTTATATACTTCACTCCCTCCTGAGATGGCCCAACACTTTTCACCACTTCTTTTCTTGCTCAGTATGGAGGATGAGCCTTTAGAGACCATACAAGCCATTTCCACCGGTAATAAAGATTGGCCAGCAGTAACTTTCAATATAGACATAACAATGAAGTGCTAACTATTAGGCAATACTCTTGTGAATAGTTGTAGTTATAATAACTTTTTAAAACACTGCATAAAGAGAAATACACAAATATGAGAGATCTGATACATTTTATCACTGCACAAGAAACAGCATGGACAATTAAAGCCTGCTGGTGGTACTGCCCACAGCATTGGTTGCTATTTTGAGAACTACTTACACTAAAAATAATCTAAATCTTGCAACAGAACTACTATTTTATTTGAATTTAGCCTTCATATGCAGTAGTATATAGTAAACACAACAAATCATCATCATAGCTAAATACACTGCAAGGTGACAGTTCAAATATCCCAGATCCCTGCAATTTCTGAGGAGCAGCAGTGCAACAGAGCATTACAGGAGCAACTGTCACCAACCAAAGTTCAAAAACAATTAAGTGTGTCATGGACAACAGACAGAAGTTATTATTACAATTAAATATGCCAGGAATTGCATTAATTCCTGTTGTCTGCATTCTCAGTTGCAGCAACAACAGAAGGTTTGGAATATAATTCTAACCATAAAGAATTAAGACAAAATGCCTTCAAGCTATAGAACAGCTTCAATTTTTTTAAAAACTCACTGTAAGCTTTCTTCCCACCAAAGATGTGATTCAAGCTTTCTCTCCCTTATGCTGTCTCCATTTCATATAGGCATGTTCCCCACGGTTCAGGTAGTGGTACACAGCCTCTTCATTTACTGAGGCATTTTAGAAGTCTTTCAGATAGATGCCTTAGAACACAAGCTAAAGCAGGTAAGGCACTGTTAAACTGATCCTTTCCTGCCATCTAGGGGACACAACTGGTGTGCAACTGGAACAATGTCTTCAGTTACACCCAGGAAAACTTTCTGTATGAAATGCATATCACTACCCAGCAAAAGAGAAATCAACTGAACTGAAGAGTAGCACACCTAGCAAGAAACAAACCTAGCATAAAGCTGCCTCTCCTGACTGCAGGGGGCACACACATTGTGGACAGTGTGCAGCTTTGCTAGACCACTATCCCCTAGGAAGCAAAATATAGAATCAGTCAATGTTGAAAGATCATCGAGGTAATTGTAGAAGCTGAAGGTTGTTCCAAGATGCCAGTTTCTACTGCTAGCACTGGCATCATGGCCAGGTTTTTCTCATCCTGCTCTCCTCACTGTTGCCTTCTAGGCCCTTTCACAAGGCAGACTCTACAAAAGGAAAGAGCAAACTCAGCTAAATGCTAAGCATAGTCAAATGTACACACAAGAGATCCATACAAGTTTTTTTTCCAGTCTTTTGTTTGGATTTGTTTTATTCTTGCTGAGAAAGGGAACAGTCCACTAAAACAAACACCCTTCACTAAAACAAACAAAGACCCACACTTCCCATGGCTGAAATGATGTGATCTTTAGGATCAAAGCGGGAACTTCTCTGAGATGAAAGGAAGCAGGTGTCCAGCCAAGATGTTCTGTGAACTGGCTACAGCTGCACATGATGTAGGCACCCATTCTGCCCCAGTGAACAGACTGGAGATGAAATGAAGGTGACAAGGCTACACTGCTGCAATACCTCCTCACCAGAGTACTCACAAACAAAAACCCCATCCAACTTCACAGAACAACTCAATTTTATTTTGATGACAAATATTTTGAGCAGCTGTGCCCGAGTCCTCTTCACCTTACTGAGTGCAGTGTATTTAAAGAGCTGGAAAGAATCCCTGCTTTGGGTATACTGAATCTCTTTGCCACCTAGACAAAAAGTAAAAAAACATAAACAAATAAAAAGCCATGTGCCAACCAATTTACAGCAGTACAACATAAATGTGCATAGGACACCATAATTTCTTGAACTTAAGGTGAGTAACACTGTTGTTTGTGAACAGCATATTAAACACAGAATACTTTTAAGTGCAAAACTACTGCAAGATATTTACTACATTCAAATTAGCAAACATAATGCATTATTTGGCAAAGCAAAGACAGAGTATTTATTCTATGGTAACACTTAAAAATATTATGATCAAAACATCTTTAGTTTAACAGGTTCCAAAGTTATTAAAAATAGGCCCACCAAAATTCCATACCAAGGCATTTTTCCCCAAAAAATAGTAACAGTAAAAAAAATATCACAGCAATAGTGCTGTGAACAAACCAGTATTATCAATGGAAAACTGTTGCAGAAAATAAAGTTGTTAGGTGATAAAAATCACAGCATTTGTTAGGAATGCTTTATTCTGTAAAGATACTCTAAGGTCTTGAGTGCTAAGAAATCAAAAGAAAACATCCATTATTCTGCTACTCTTATGTATACAACCCGACATTTCCTCCTAATCATAGTTTTATGTATTACCAGTCTTACATATTTATGTATATTTCCTCCTAATCATAGTTTTATGTATTATCTCAGGTAAGACTGGATTTAGTAATCAAACTATATATTTACAAATGGTTTTAGCTAGAAAGCATTAAATACAAAATCATACCTTTAAAAAAAAACCCACAACCAAAGGGCAATATGTCCAGCTACTACTCTTTGTAAGTATTCAGGACTACCTTCTGAATGATATAAATTCAGTTTGCAATCTAGATTCATTTTCAGGTTTATTTTTAAGTCACCAAACAAGAAACATCATTCATACTGTCATTTTATTTTTTGCCTTTATAATTTGCTTCCCTAAGAGCAAAACAAATCTTATTTCCACACATTAAAACAGATAAACATCACAGCAAGCAGCTTTAATATCGGATTTTAACCTTGCCTCGCATTCATCTTTTTTCTTTATACACTATTTTTCACTGACTTTAATTATTTTCTGAACATTTTGACTTGACACTCAATGTAGTCCTAAATGTGACTTTTTCCAACTGGCAATAATACACAACTTCATTCAACTAATCACTGTTTCCACATGTATTCAAAGTCTTTCCAACACTTACGACAACATGTTTGCTGATACTTTTAAAATTTCATTAAATTTTATTTAAATAAAATGGAAGCAAATTGAAATTTACAAAGCTTAAAATTTTATTAAAGAAAACTCAGTGTGCTTAAATTTTCAAAACAAGATTAAACAAAAACATTTGTCATGAAAGGCCTACAGTCAGTTTGCAAAACAGTTCAGGTAACCAAACTCCATGTGGCTTTTAGGCATGCAGAAGTGCAGAACAGTGCTTCTGAAAAACCTGCCAAGCGTTTAGATAGGCTGGGTACCTGACTGCTGCTGGCACTTTGCTAGGAATTGGGTATCCACTATCCATTTTCATTTGTTGTTTTTTTTCAGTCCTCATGTGGGGGTTTTTGGGGGACTGGTGGTTAGGTTTATTTGATGCTTAATGTTCACAACTAACTCCATATCTTTAGATTATCTTTAGATTTAACTTAATTCCACTCCAATTGAATTAACAGTTACTGAGTCCACTCTTTCACCATCTGTTTTTCAAATTTCAGGTGAAGGAACCTAACTCAAACAATGTCAAAAGTTCTCTGCTTGTGCAAATAAGACCAAAACCAAAAATGAAGGCAAAATAATTTCTCTGTAACAGAATCTGAAAACATGTATGATAGTAGATAAATAAATGTCAAGATTAGCTTCACTCTGAAGTCTACAGATACAGCACCATGGTTTTGTTTTGTTTATAGATCTGGCTTCCCTTTTGATTTTGTATTCATTTAGAAAACAGCACTCTCACTAAAAGGTGAGAAAGGCTCATGTATACAGAATTTAAAATTTTAACAAAATACACCAAGTCTACACATAACACTGGCTGCTGTAATTCCAAATTTAATTACTCATTCGTCTTTGAAAAGGTATTCAAGTTCTAAATGACTACACCAGCACTTGGTAATAATATTTTTATGCACTGTACAGAGATGTACCTTCAAGTAGAAGAATATAAGAATGTCCTAGAACTACATACCAGAGAAACTGAGACTGAAACAGTTTTCTTTTAAGGCAGAAGTTCCATTGTATATGAGATTAAAAGCCACCATAATATTAACTATAACTAGTTCATTAAGCACTTAAAAATTTGCATTCATAACTATTCATTCTCATGCTGACTAGAATTCTACTAATATTCCAGGAAGTCCAGCTGGAGATATGGTTATCCTTTGAGGTTAAAGCTATGGCAGAGTAAAGTTAACCTAAATGCTACTTTTAATTATTAAATAAAATGTGCTCATTTATGTTAGTAAGTTATACAACTATTTAGAAAGAGGAAATATGAAATATTGACAATGACAAAACAGATTTTAAAAAGCTATCATTGAAAAAGTTAGAATTCATATTCAGAGGAATTTCAATGTTTAAAAACAGATTCACATATGTTCATCCAGTTGAAGATTAGTGTATTAAAAAAAGTTAAGAAAATACTTTTGTGTTTCAGTTCAACTGCGCTTGATTCAAGCACAGCTTGGAGGTTGGCTGATATAAATTAAACATTGATCACTGCCTCAGCAGCCAAAAGTACAGAAAAATGTACATGTTCACAGGATAAATAGAAGTCTCTTCTTTTGGAGGAATAACAAAAAAAAAAAGAAAAAAAAAGGCAAAAAAAAAAAAAGCTATCTCACTCCAATACGGGAGGTCATCCACTCCAAGCCTTGGCATAATCTGAAAGATAAGAGATGTTATACTTGGCATGAGTTCTATTCCAGAATCTTGAAGGTATTTTCTACTTGTTTTTATGTGCAAAAACAGCTACTTAAAATAAATTAAATCAACAGGAAATGGGATTGAAAGCTGAAGAGAGCAACCAGTGTACTAAGTCTGCTTAGGCTTTAGCCTCATGAAAATGGCCAAGCGTTCTATTTTATTGAATCTTGGCAGTACTTAATTTTTTTCCCTTGTAAACCTAAAAGACACTATCCTTAAATGCTTACTGACAAGTACATGAAAAGAAAAAAGTTTTTTCTTGCTCTACAGAAAGCTAGACCTTTACATACTAATATTAAAAGATACAGGGCAGATTATTCAAACTGAATTGTTTCATGAAAAGACAGCACATCAAAATTACATTACAAAATTAAAAGTGTGTTTATACTGAATACTAAGACTGCATGGGATCTAATATGCTTCCTAACTCAATTTGCATCTCCATTTAAAAATCTTCCATTTTAGAAGACAGACTTTCCTTTGATTTTCTAGGGACCTAGTTACCTAATTTATACCCCTTTGAGCCTTTACCTTTTTACAGTAAACCAGTGTTTAGCTATCCAAGAATGAATGCTAGCTTCACTCACATCATGTTGATCCCCGCGATTGTCAGATCTTCCCAGAGAAGACTCAGCTCAGCTATCTAACTCTGGGGATGTTTTTTTCTAAGTTTATCTCACTGCTATCATAGTTTAGAGTATTCTAAATATTCATTGCTTTTTGTTTTAAAATATGAAAGAAGCAGCCTAGGATGACCACTGCTTCTAAAGTAAACCTCATATTTATTAATTTTTATTTTCCTTCAAATGTCAACTTGGTTGAAGATCTTAGTTAGTCCATAAGTCACTTTTGAGCATGCTTCTGTTACTCAAAAGTGACTTTAGCAAAACTGGTAGAAGGAAAGTAGTTAACTATTAGAACTAAATAATACATCTACCCCATTAAAAAAAACCCCACTTTGTTCTCATTAACACATTCCACCCTAAGGAAGTTAATGCCACCATTCACTCTACAAGACATCTCCATGACATTAGACAATACTTCATGCTAGAAAGTGAGGTAGATGCTCTTCCTTCCCAAATACTCAACTGGATTCACTATTTTTAATGTCACAAGACCACAGTATTATAAAGGTTGTACAACACAGCTCAAAAAAACCCTAAATATCACACATTACCAGACGGCTTTAAAAATCAAGATGAAAAATCAGTACACTTCACACCATACAAGCAAGACATTATCCAACTTGTTAAAAGATATCCAAATTTTATTTTATATTTTACAGACTAAGGATGTAAGGCTAGCCCAGCATTCCATGTTAGTAATTGTTAGCATAAGGTATACAAATTTCAAAAATAGCTACATTAGTCAGATATAAACAAAGTTTAATATTAGTATGAAATTTGTTTTATGACAGATCTATGTAACTTTTCATCAAAAACTAGGTTTCAATGCTAATCAAAAAAGCCAACCAACCAAAAAAACCTGAACACCTCAGCCTCCCAGCTTAGAACAGAAAAGAACTAGATTATTTCTTTAAATATAGAAAGACATACCAGAGCAAGAAAGTACCACAGAGAGAGTAGACACCTATGTGAACAGCTACATACTTAGGTGGAGAGGTGGTGTTTGGTTTTTGGTTTGGGGTTTTCAACAAGAAGTCAAAGACTTTCATATGAATTTGAAGTTTGAGCTATGAAAAACCCACAAGATTCAATTACAAAGAAGAAAAATTCAAAATGTCCCTCTGGCAGCAAAGTCCAGAATATATGAACTTTCGGAAAATCCACTTTGGTGTCAGCAGGCTTCTAAATCAGAATTCTCATTTACCAGGAATTCTCATAGCACTTACCCCTCTCCTGTCAAAGCACAGCAGGACTGAATGTGCCACGGGTGATCCTTTATGGAGCTGAGGGTGAGGTAGGCAGATATCTCGGCAGCCGTCATGCAGCCTTTCATGTCCTGCTTGTTCGCGAAGATCAGAACCGCAGCCTTCCGTAAATCCTAGAAACGATTCAGAGTACTCCTACAGTTACTATACAGAACTAAAAGGCTACTGTGCTAACTTCATTTGTTAAAAGAACTGTATCCAAGCTAATCAACAATTACACTGGAGCACGGAGTTTTAACCGTCCTACTACACTAAGTATTTGTTACAGTAAGACTGCAAAAATAATTTATTCAAAAGTGCTCACCACCACAGAGAATCAAATTGCAAAGTATTATATGAGGATCCTCTTGGTGTTGACCACATGTTCATACATAACTAATTAAAGTCTCGTCGAAATACACTTTATAATGCCCCAAACCACTCAGCCAGCAGAATTATGTCTGGTTAAACATTGCTAGTGCTACAATAAATATTCAAATGGAAAAGCCTGCTAGATATCCGTCCCTTGAAATTCCTTCAACTTTAGTAAAGAAGTTCTGTATTGATTAAAGCAGTAATAATTTAAGAAAGCTTTCTGAATTACTAGAAGTTTAACTCTAATGCTCAAAAAAGGGAGTTTTAATGCTGCATCAACTTTAATAACTAATTAAAATAGTTTTGTTTCAGTGTGGAATTTAGTGTTCCAAACAGACAAGAATGTATGGCTTTAAAAGAGCAGAAGGGTAAACAAATCTAATACTCGGGAAGCTGACAGTTGCAACTAAAAGTGTTCAATGCATTTCAGTGTATGTTAAATTTTGAGACTATTTTTCCACCAAGGGAAAAAAACCCTGAAAACAACAAAGCTTTATGATCTACAGCTGAAAATTCAAGCCTACAAGTAGCTTAGTCTAGGCCTACCAACTGATTTCAAGATATGATAGATCACAATTTCTTAAGAGTTTGAGACTGGAAACCAAAAAACTATATGGGAAAACTTCAGCACAAGAAGTAATTTTTCCACCTTTTTGTGGAAATGTACTCCTTACTACTAGACCCAAACTACAATTAATATTAAAATGCAAATCAAAACTTTATGTGACAACAAATCTCTCAGAGAAATTAACCCAACAGGATTGCTTTTACTGTACTAAATCCTTTCCTTTCAAAAATGAAGGAGAATATTTAGATTTAAAACAATATCAATTCAGCTTCAGAGTGATCACAAAAGGTTTTAGCATATTTTACCTAAGCAAATATACAAGTTAATTTAGGATGTTTGAGTGAGTTGACCTAAAGCTGAGCAGTCCCCAGGACAACATATAATAAAAATACAAACAAATAATTCTGAAGGAAAATGAACTGAAATTAATTTTCCCATAGTATGATATATACTCCTTAATTTTAAGGAACAGGATTAGAACAAACAAAAAAAGTAGGCAATTCCATTTCTCTAAAATGAAACATTTTAGCCACTAACATTTAACTAGTCAGTGGTAAAGGACAATACCCAGTTACATTAATATGAAGCATAACATATTTTACAAGTCCAACATTTGCAAAGTAAAGACCGATTTGATTACAATCAAGCAAGTCCTATTTGAAGAGTGCTTCATAATAATTCTTCTCCTTATTTATAACTTACATGATTTTAAAATGTGATCAACATGAATGCACACTTATTCTCAAATTTTTTCCTGATGGTATTATTTTTGTTAACATAGGAAACATGAAATGTTATTTAACTGCTCTTAAAAAAACTGTTATCCCAACTCCCCACCATACCTCATGAGCCAGCATTCTATAAAGTTCTTCTTTTGTAATAGAAAGTCGCTCTCTGTCAATGCTGTCAACAACCAGAATGATGAACTAGGGAAAAACACCAATAGTACAATATGTAAACAAAAACTACAAATTACAGAAAGCACAATTTCAAGATACCACTACCACAAGTCTATCTACAGAAGAGACAGACACTTTTAGAGGACACTAGAAAAGAGAAAGTGACAAAAGAAAAGAGAGTAGCAAAAAAGGAGAATCAGAAATTAATGTTGTAATTCTCCAACATATTCTCCAAATCACTTTGCCTTATAAAATTAAAGGGATTCATTAGCCATTGAAAATGACCACAAAGTATGAGAACCTGAGTCAATTTAATGCTGCTGTGACTTGGAGATGCCTAGCAGATGAGGTGGAACAGTAATAGAATTATTCATATGGGGAGGCTAGGATTAGCATAGTAAACAGATCTCTTTTCTTCCTCAACTGCTCCCAGCAGACAAAGCTTCTAAGTAAAGGGAAAGTTCTATCCAAGTACTACAAGGCACTGGATTCAAACACTTGCTAGACAGAATACAAAGAACATCCCAAAAGTATCAGAAAAATAATATATGCATCTCTCCAAATTCCAAAATCAAAGATACTCAAGGGATAAATGCCAAGAACTTCTTGCTCTACACCAGATAATGCTGGTAGAAGTCTCTTTAACTTCATGCATTTCTTAGATGTAGCTGCACTTTTCCACATAAAATAAAAAATTAGTCTAAAATACTAGAGATGAAGGTTGAGATGTCATTTTCAGGCTTACAGTAGATCTAGGGCAGATCACAGATCTCATCTCTCTTCAACAGCACAGGAAAAGATACAGAAAAAAGAAGAGATAAAAAACCTAATTTTACAAGAGGATGGAATACTTATATAAGGAGTAATATCTACAAGAGGGCTCTGCTTTTAGTAAAAATGGTAAGAAATGAAGTCTAGAATATTTTACATCAGTGCAGATATCTCAAAGAGAATCCTCAGTGATTATATGTGCATTTTGTATTGATAAACTCTTTGCCTCAAAAAGAATGTCATAAAAACCAAACCCCACAAGTCAACTGCTGCTGAATTCTTCTCCAACCTTTCCAGCAACAGCAGCTCTGCCAGTACCTGACGAGTAGTGCACAGCAAGACTTTCCTTCCTCCTCTGGTTAAAAGCTATGAGCTGATGAGCTGTTTAAATACTGCTGCCTAGGCTTAAAAAAAGTTCCATTCCTTTATTCCTTATTCCTTCATACCTCATTTCCTCCTAATTATCATTATTTTAAAACCATTTCAGACTGGATGTACAGAAGTCCAGTTGACCACTGCAAATCATCACAAAATTTGCAAGTTACATTTCAAAATTTTCTTTTTAATCTACTTAAAAAAGCAAGCAAAAAAACTGATCTAAAATGCATTTCATTATCATTTGATTGCCTAGAGAAAGTCTAACTTCACAGTTTATAGCACAGATCAAATAACTCTACAGTAAAGTACACAGAAAAAATGCTTCAAATATTACCAGAAAAATGGCTGCATACCAGAGATACCTTAGTCTCCCTCATTAGAATGCAAAAACAATACAACTACAATCTCTACAAAAGTCTACAAATATTCCTAATAAATAAATATCATTTCAAACAAACTTAATTCAACTTGCAGATTTCAAAGCATCTTCTCATACCTCTGTGTTTGAATAATAGGTATTCCACGATGACCGTAATGATTCTTGTCCTCCAATATCCCACATTAAGAAATGAGTGTTTTTCACCACTATTTCTTCTACATTGCTTCCTATGGTTGGAGAAGTATGAACCACTTCATTCATTAAGCTAAAGGAAACAATATCACACCAAAAAGACCAGTCAGCAAAATCCACAAGGCTTGTTAGAGTTCAGTTATAACAATTTTTTGTAGAAAAAGTAAATATGTATAACTGACAAAAAATATTTTAAAAAATCAGGCATATTTTAAAAAAGCTATACATTTGAACTTTAGAAAGCAGTGACTGTATTCATGCTTAAAGAAATCCTTAGATTTCTTTAAGCATGAATACATGCTTAAAGAAATTTCTTAAAGCAAGGAAAAAAAGCACATAAAAGGCATAACAAATGGTTAAATGTTATAGGACTGTCTTTCTAAAGGACATTAACATTTGAACTTTAGAAAGCAGTGACTGTATTCATGCTTAAAGAAATCAGCAAGGAAAAAAAGCACATAAAAGATATAACAAATGGTTAAATGTTATAGGACTGCCTTTCTAAAGGACATTAATAGACACTTAAAATGCACTTGTTTTAAAGCAGAAGCTGCCATTCTAAAGATTCCAAATATAAAAACCACTAAACTATGCAAAATATAAATCAGAATATAATTTTATCAAAGCACTCTACTTAGTAACTAGATATTAAATCCCAAAGGACTGTTTGGTTACATTGCTGAAAATTGCCCAGTTCCACCTTTAAGCTTGCCCAAAATCTTCAGGAATAGGAAGTATTTCTGGAAAGCATACTGTGTTGCTTTGATATCCAAATATAAGGACATTAATTTATCTATACTCTCCTCCTTTTCCACAATTACAATAGTAATTATGGTCCTGACAACACTCTTGAATTTATTATGGATATTCTTGTAATGCTGCCAAGATTTGGGTGCAATGATGCTATTGAAAATTAGTAAGGTAGGACCTGGGAAAGCTGAAATATTATTTTCAGGAATTCTCTATCACAGTATTAGACACTGGAATTGAGAAACATTTGGAAACATTTTTGGATTTTTTGCAGGGTGGCTAGAATTTCTATTAATTTAAAAATTGTGTTCTTTTCTGCAGTTACTGGAAACAGGATTATTTCTATGCATACAAATTCAGACAGGCTTTCATGGGAAAAAAAAAACTGCAGTTCACTTTGTGCTTGGATGTACAAATTTGTTGTTCAATTTACAGTTCAGTTTTAAAGCAGAGCAGTTCCTTCACTTATCCTTTAAACATTCATTCTGTTTAGAACAACTCATACCATTAATGTACAAAGTGTGATCTAGAGCCCTAGAGATTACATCAGGTTACAAAGCTGAATTTTCAAAGATTAAACAGTGACAAGTAATAAAATGCAAACAGAAAAACAATTAGTTCATATACTTACAACTGGTAAAGAATAGTAGTCTTGCCAGCATTGTCAAGTCCCACTATGATTACTTTGTGCTCTGCAAATACAAAAAAAGAAAAAAAAAAGACAAAAATAAATCCATGGAAACAGCAATAATTATAATTCTCACTCTCCCTTACTGAAGAAAGCAACCACTTGTTTCTTTTATATCAATACCTTATACAGATTAGTGGTGACTTCAGGAGAGGAAAAAAAGGCAAACAAAGCCTCATCTTCTCTTGAGACTCCAGTCTCAGGAAAAGTCAGCACTGGAAACCTAATAAAGGTATGGTTACTAATGATTACTTCATCTACAACATCTAGTTTCAGAAAGAGAAGTACAGTGAAAAAATATAATCCATAGCAGTGTATCATGCTAAGAACACTACAAAATATCCAAAGACTGCAAAAGATATTACCCTAACATTCAAGGATCAATAATAACCATTTGTTAAGGTACCATCATTATTCACACCATAGAATCTAAGAGGAAACTGTATTTTGAATAGGCCACAGATTCTGCTTTTGCAACTTCTAAACTGAAAAGTCACAGAATGATAGAATGGTCAAGGCTGGAAGACACCTCTGGAGGTGATCTGGTCGAACCTCTTTGCTGAACCAGGCCCACGGAGCCAGTGGCCTAGGACCATGTCCACATGGGTTTTTAATATATCCAAGATGGAAACTCCACAGCCTCCTTGGACAGCCTGGGTATTGCTCAGTCATCCTCACAGTGAAAAAGTGTTTCCTGATGTTCAGAGGGAACTTGTGCATTTCAGTTTGTGCAGTAGCCCAGTCCTGTCACTGGGCACCACTAAGACAAGCCTGGCTCTCCTTCTTTGCACCTCCTTTTCTCACATGTGAGATGCTCCAGTCCCTCATCACCCTTGCAGCCCATCACTGGTCTCTCCCCAGGATGACTCTCCATGACTCTCTTGCACTGAGGAGCCCAGAACTGGACATGGTAGTGCAGGTGAGGCCCCATCAGTGCTGAGCAGAAAGGAAAGAACCCATGCCCCAACCTGCTGTAAAGTCCAACATACAAAACAGTGATCTCGCAATTGCTGCAATACTGTTTGTATCCAGGCACAGGAGAGACAAAACAGAAATCAACCAAACAAACAAAATCAGTAAAAAAATCCTCCAAAATTTATATGCTTCTCTGTAAATAATCCCTCAGAATTTCAAATCCAGTATTACAACCACTTAGAATGGTGGCTCTTTTGCTGCATGTGTGTAGCCTCAGCAGTGATCCAATTACTGACAAAAATAAGCAAACCACTTGAGAGTGAAAAATTTGCAAATGGATATCTAAAAACTCTGTGAACAAGCTCACTTTTAAAGAGATAATATTTACAATTCTAGGGCACTTATTTCAAAGCAAAACGTGGTTCACAGTTTAAAGATTTCCTACAAAATACCACACTTGATCTACAGGATCAAACAAGTTACTAGATCAGAGGATCTATCATAAGTATCAAATTGATGTTTTTTACCCCAAAAGTGGGTGGTTTAAGGAAAAACTGAAGCATTTTGGTTAAGAATCTATTTATATATAGTAACCTAGGTCTTTTTATATTGAATATTACTGTAATAAAATATTTTCTTGTTTGGAACTTCTGTAAGTTTTGCTATGGAATAGGGTCATAACAGAGGATAAAATGTATTTCCCTGTGGCAGTTCTCCTATGACTGCATCCTGCCAACACATCCTAAGAAAAGAACATTTCCTGACTGTAAATGTGGGAGTACTTTTAGCCCCACTAACAGCAGCATCAGTAATTAATAACCTTTTCCAATACATAAATAGTATGAAATCCTCTCTACTTTCAAGGCTAATAAATCATGCCTAGTAGCTTGACTGTCCACCTCTTCTTCAAATATAGTTAAATTTAAAGAGCTTTCAAAGGTCCAAATACAGAAATACCCTCCTGTTTTTTTCAAACCAAACATATTGTTAACTATTGCCAGGAAGATGATTCTACTATTGCAGCATTCTGTTTAAGTTATTTTCAAGAAAGAAAAGAAATTCCAGTCAGGCATTACACTGCTCTCTCATCTTCTTATCAGAACACATCATATTAGGCATGAATGGTTGGAGTGTTGGATGATACAACATCACACTAAATGATGAAGAAAAAACCTCCATTGAGATGGCTGCTTTTGAAAGCCACTGAAGTGTGAATGGTCCAACACTAACTGGGAAAAAAAGGCACAGCTTATCTGTGTTACTTCATAGTCAAATGGTGGTTCATACAGTGATTGAATAACCACAAACAATAAACAGTCACCCAAGTGTTAATTAATAGTGATCTTGGCATTAAAATACTAAGATGAAATCATGGGTATTTCACACAAGTAGCAGATTCCAGAACTATAGTAATGGAAACTCTTCACTTACAAACATATTCAAAAGTTGAATTTCTGTCTAGTTTGATGAAAACAAAGAATTCACACATAGATGTGCATTAGAGGAAAAACATGTGAGCTTAAAAACTACCAAACTAAGATAGAACAGAATTTTAGCATGACAGCTACTTGTTTACAAGAGTAACTAAGAGAAGACAGATGCCACATTTAGGAGGAAGGACAGTTACTGGGTAAATCATAGCTAGTGATTTATTTGTGTTCTGTACTTACAGACTAACCCAAGTTTCTCCCTTTCACTGACTGGTATTAAAAGTCAGTTTAGGTTGTATTCATTAATATCCTCCCAGTCCACCATGTTCTTGGCAAAAGAAGAAGAAAATCCTTAACAAAGTTGAGAGAGCAGAAGAGTCTTTATAAATCACGTAGAAAGAGGGAGGGAAGATGGGGAAAGTAGAAGTAGGCATATTACGCAGGGGAAAAATAGAAAAGACAGGATTAAACTACTCCTTAAAGAATACAAGGGTTTCTTGGTTTCATCAACCCTTTCTAGCATACAGTTTAAAAAAAATTGATATATAATACTGTTAAAAAAAATCTGTGGCAGTTTAGTATTACAAAACCACAGGACAGTCAAGATTATCTTCTGCCAGATGTTAGAAGAAAGACATAATAGACTCTTTTCTTCCTTACTCATCAATATTTCTCTGTGAGAAAAGGGTCCAAAACTGAAGATTTTATTCTCCCAACATGCCTTTTTCTCTACTTTGCAAAAGATAAAAATAAAAAAAATCTAAATACTTCAATGACAAGACTTCTAACATATTTGGAAGAAATGACTACTGAGAGTACCAACAGCTTTCAAGCTGTGAAACAAAATGCTCATCTGGTACTTTGGAGGCCTCAGAGTTGAAGACAGAATGCAGTTTGCTAGAAAGAAGGCAGGAGGAATAGCATTATTCTGGAGGTCAAAGAGGTTTCAATACAAAGACTCATTCTGCACACTAACAGCTAATTTAGAGTCTTCTCTTAAGCACAAAATAACTGCTAAAACACATTTTGTACCCCCAGATTTGATTACAAGGAAGTAGAGAAGCTGTCAATAACTGTTAGTAGTCAGAGGAACCAAAAACCATTTGGTTTTTTAGATAATGGTCTCTCCTAACCTGACTGGGAACTGCCAGTAAGGCCTAGTGAAATAAACTGGAGTTACAGAAGTTCAATCATCTTCAATTAGAGCTTACCATTACTTTTCTTAAAACAACTTTTTAATAACTGTAGCAATTATTCAGAGCAACCTGTATAGATGCTGAATAATTACCATTCCAAAAATAAGTAAACCCTAGATTTGTGAGCTTCTCAAAGAACTCTATACACCACATAAAAAATGTAAGGTTTTGATAACAGTCATTTATCTTTATCAGGGTTGCTGACATTCACTTCTATTTTTAACCCACAGTTTAATTAAGAGCTATCTTGGTAATATTGATGGAATGATAAGTCAAGCAAGTTTTACTCAGACATGCATTAACACAGGCACTAACTTATTGGCTCCACCATCTATCCACACTACTACATGTTGCTTAGAAGAATGTGCCACCTGACTACTGAATCATAGCTTCAGTGGGTCATTTTTGGAGTCTGATTTTTTAAAACTTCTGAAGTAAGTTACTAATAAAAGTAAATTCAACTAAACTTATGCAATTTAGCATCTAGACTTTAAAAGGCTGCTAAGAATGATATTTTAAATAAAACAATACTTGAGTAATGTTTTTTGTCAATTTCAAAGAAAAGGAAAAATTATCATGAAGCAATTAGAAAGTCACCTAGAAAAATGACAAAAGTCTATTTTAAAGCCAACTGTTTCTTTTATGAGTAAAAATATCTCTATTTCAGTTCACATCATTCAATTACTACTTGATTATGAGACAATATACATTGAGAGCTGAAAGACTTAAGACACACCTCATCCCCTGTGCTCTACTCGACAGAACATAGATGGAACTTTCAAATCTTTCCTTAGTTTCACCCTTCCTTTTGCCAAGTGCTGCAGGTTATCACACAACTCGCACCAGCCATGAGAACTGATACCATGATCTGCACACAGCAGACCCTATCTGCATCTTTGGAATATTCCCTACATACAGCCAAAATCAGTGTGGGCTAGTCTGCTCAATAAAGCAACACCACAGGACAGCCTGTGAATTCTCCACGGAACTATCAAGATTTGATGTAACTAGAAGAGCAACCAAAATCAACTCAGAAATTACTATGCTTTATTATGAGTAATGATATTAGAAAACACAGTTGTGTTGTTGGAGAGTAATTTCCCATTAGATCAGAAATTTATGTTTGAAGCAAACTTTCTAGAATGAAATTTCAGTTTTGGCCATGAAAAGAAAGTCACTTTCGCTTCTGTGGTTACACAAGAAGAGGAGGTAAAACAAACCCAAAAACAACCCAAAACAAAGCAAAAATGAAACAAAAGATAAATCCAGCACTAAACCAGGATCAGGACACACCCTAAGTCTCTTATTGGGATAAATGCCAAAGAGTAAATATTTCACAGTATTATCTCATCTGTTTAACTGTGAGACTAATATTTCATTAACCATTTAAATATATGAATGCATTAGGTTTGCAACGTGAGATTTTGATAGTGGAGAGGGCTACACAGTGTTTTCTGAGAAGCTCCTAGAAACTTCTCCTATGTGTATACAGCCAGTGCCAGCCAAGGCCATCAGTAAGAGGTGCAATGCCTCTGGGACAACATTTTTAACATGAGAAAAAGTAACTGACCAGGTGAAATTACAGACAGAGAACAGAGGAGTGAGAATCTGTGAGAGAAACAACTCTGCTGACTCCAAGGTTGGTGCAGGAGGAGGGGGAGGAGGTGCTGCAAGTGACAGGGATGCACCCACAGCCCATGGTGAGGCAGCTGTGCCCCTGCAGCCAGAGGTCCATGGGGGAACAGAGATCCACCTGCATCCCATGAAGGACACCATGCTAGAGCAGGTAGATCCCAAAGGCAGCTCTGACCCCACTGGACATTCATGTTGGAGCAGGCTCCTGGCAACAACCTGTGGAGAGAAGTTCACTCTGGACCAGGTCTGCTGGCAGGTTTGTGATCTTGTGGGGGATCCACGCTGGAATGGCCCGTCCCTGAGGACTGCGCCTCGTGAAATGGACTCGTGCTGGAACATGAGTGTAGAACTGCAGACCTTGGGAAGAATACACACTGGAGAAGTCCATGGAGGACTGTCTCCCATGGGAGAGATCCCACACTGGAACAGGTGATGCAGTCCTCTCCATAAAAAAGAACGTGGCAGAAACAGTATGTGATGAACTGACCATAGCCCCCATTCCCTATTCCCTCCTGCAGGAAGGTGGTAGAGAACCAAAAATAAATAAAGCTAATCCTGGGAAAAAAAGAGGGAGGAGTGGGGAGCAGATGTTCAGAAGACCTGGTTATATTTCTCATTAACCTGTTTTCGTTTGATTGGCTATGAATTATATTAATTTCACAAACTGGGTCTGTTTTGCCCATGATGGGAACTGGTGAGTGATCTCTCCCTTTCCTATCTCAGTCCAGAAGCCTTTTTGCTGTGTTTTCTCCGCCCCCCTCCAGCTGAGGAGGGGAGTCACAGAGCTGCTTTGGTGGGCATCTGGCATCCAGCCAGGGTCACTCACAATGAAGAATAACTTTTCTTCCAGGAAATAATATACAATAACCAGGACAATGTGTTTTCCTGAAGATAAATACTGACATCATAATCTACACTATTTGCCATAGAGGCAAATACTAAATACTACCAGTTATCTGCTGATCAGTTCCCTGCTTATAGATCTCTTTGGAGTCTTTGGAATACTTCATGGAAGAAAAGAGTTGCAGATTGCACTACTTGATGAAAACAAAAAAAGGGTACTTAGTATTCTTCTGGAGGATAGGAGAAAAAACAAGAAATTAGCAACAAATTCAGAAGATTGTTAGAAGACTTCAGGAATGATGTGGTAGGATGGTGTATGCATGAGAAAAAGAAATTATCTGGGACTGGATCCCAATTCCATCCCATGAAAGACAGTTTGATATACAGATGTCAATGTGCACACACACTGAGGCTTTGGTATGTACAGAATTAGACTGGGTTATGTGCAATCACAGGCAGAAAACTATTAAAGTACACCAGGTGTATCTGCCTCCAAAAACTCGCAACAGAGCATTGTACAAAAAAACCAGCTTATCTGCATTTTCAATAACTTTAAAGTGGAAATGAGGGACACATTTGGAAACCTGATGAGAGAACAATTAATTTTATTCTTTATATTGTTTTTCCTTGAGGCCCTGAGCTTGGAGCAGGCAAAATGTTACTATTAACTACTTAATTTTCTAAACAAAACTGGCTAGGTAAACCAAAATCATTAAAACAAATAAATTAACAGATAAACCATAACTTTCTACTTTTATGATAACCATCTGAAGTAAAGGTGGTGGCAGACCCAAATTTTGAGCTCTGGATTAGAACATGAGCTGTGATTGCAGGGGTGGATGAACTGGGCAGGAGAGCATGGAAAGCGATACTATCCCCTTACGACCTTTTTATTTTTGGCTGGAGAACTGATTTCCTTGGGTCACTAACTGTATTTAACTAACATCTTTGCCAAAACACAAACAGATCTGTACCTCGAAAGCCCTTACATGTTTGGCGTCCTTCTTTTCCTTTTAATTAAAGACTAAAACGACACGATTTTAATAACAGACCCCGACTTAGAAAGGAGGATCGGCGAAGCCAAGAGGGACCGTCATGGTCCGCCGCAGCCTCAGCAGTGCCGGCCGCCGCGGACGCCGGGCGCGCACCGCCCGCGGGGCTCAGGGCAGCGGCGGCCGGGGAGGAGGGGAGAGGAGGGGAGAGGAGGGACCACCGCGGCACGCCAACGGCCGCACGGCCCCGCCCCCGCGACCCGCGCGCGTCACTGCGGCGTCACGGCGGCGGCAGCGTGTCTGAGGGACAGTCGCGAGCTTTCCGCCGGGGCTGGTGGAAAGCCGAGGGAGGAGGGGAGAGGAGGGGAGAGGAGGGACCACCGCGGCAGCTCAGACAAAGCGACCCCGAGCATGAGGCGCCGCGGGACCAGCGCTCGCGGCGCCGCACAAAGCAAAGCCCAACTTTTGGCTGGGCGGGCCTTCAGGGGAAGCCCGGCGAGCGGAGCCGGCCCCGAGCCCCCACGGCTGCCCGCGGCCCCCGCAGCCCCGCGGGCTCCGCTCGCCGCCCGCCCCGCCGCCGGTTCGGGCCCGCGCGCCCACCTTGGCTACCGAAGAGGCTCCACAGCTTGGCGAAGATTAGGCCCATGCCTGGCCTCGGCTTTCCGCCGAGCGCCCGGGGCACCCCGAGCTCACCCAGGCGGTGGCGGTGGCGGCGGCGGTGACTCCCCCGGCTCCCTCGGCGGAGGCTCCGCAGCGGCCCCGGCAGCGCCGAGCGGGCGGGCGGGCGCAGGCAGGGGGCGCCGGCGCGACCCGCGCGCGTCACTGCGGCGGCAGCGTGTGTGAGGGACAGTCGCGAGCTTTCCGCCGGGGCTGGTGGAAAGCCGAGGGGGCTGCGGTCGGCACGCTCGGGAGGACGGAGCCGCCCCGCAAGGGACGAATGCTGCGAGGAGCGCTAGGCCCCCGCCGCGCTGGTCGCTGCCGGAGTGGGAGGCGCTGGCAGCGCGCTTTGCCGACCCCGTGTCCTCCAGCCCTGCGGTGCTGTGGCCGATCCACGGCCTGTGCCGGTGGGAAGGATGGAGGGTTTCAGGGCAAGCAGTGCTCCCGTGTACAGTAAAACTTGTGGAAGCAGCGGGTTCGCTCTCAGGGCTGTGCTGCAGGTTTCTGTACTGAGCTCTTGCGGGTGTGCCCACCCGGGTTTCCTCGCAAGCAGCACCTTGGGGAGGGTCAGGCAGTGAGCACGAACCCGGCTCCGCACTAGCGAGCGAGCCTGCGTGCACTTAGGTGCAGAAGCGGTGGAAGTACGAAACCTGTTACTTTAATCCACTCGGCAGAATTTCAGAAAAACAAACAAACAACAAAAAAAAAATTAAATAATGAAGGGATGTCAGCAACGTCTATACTAGGTGCAGAAGCGGTGGGAGTACGAAACCTGTTACTTTAATCCACTCGGCAGAATTTCAGAAAACCAAAAAAAAAAAATAAAATAAAATTAAATAATGAAGGGATGTCAGCAATGTCTATATCCGCTAAGCTCGGGCGCCCCGCGGGCTCTGCTGCGCTGGGAGCACGGGGGCCGCGCCGCGGCGTGCCCGGCTCCCATGGCGACACTGGCGGGCGGCACTTCCTGCCGCCGCCCGGAGGAGGCGGGCCCGGCTGCGCTGGCGGTAGGTGTGTGTGTGTGTGTCGGGCGGGGGGTCCGGGTCTGCGGGCGGGCTGAGCGCCCTCCGGCCCGGTCCGGCACCTGCGTGCTCCGCCCTTCTCGTTCAGGCCCGGTCCGGACGCGGGCCCATGTGTGCCTCGGGGTCCGTCGGGGCTGAGGCGGTGGTGGCGCGTCCCGCTGGGGTGCGGCCGCCTCCCGGGTACCTCTGGGCTCAGGCGCAGGGTCTCGGGGGACTGGGAAGAGCTGCGCGTCCCGTTGCTCCCCGCTCGCTGATTTTTCAGTAATGGGCGGGCGAGGGAATAAAGGAGGGAGCCCCGTGTTCCGCTCCCTGCGACAGTGACCGCACTGTCGTTTTCCTCGTGTGGCAAAGGGTGGGCAGGGAGGTTTGAAAGTGTAGCTCGGCATCTCTGGTGCTGGCTGCGTGTGACTGCTGGTAGCGTTCATGTGCCTAGCTGGATCAAAGCCCTGGTTCGGCGTCGCGTTCCCCGCTGCAGTTCCCCACAGAGGCACATGAAAAGCAGTGAAAAAAAGAAGTAAAAATCTTTTCTTCTAAAGTCTGTCATACCTTTTCTGGGGCAACGTGTACGGCATAGGAGAGCTGGAGAAAAAAAAAAAAAAACCCAACAAAAATTCTCAGGTACTAAGAGCCTGCCTCCTGCTGAGCGTTTGAAGTGTGACTTGCACTTGGCAGGAGGGGCAGCAGGCAGTGTCCCCCATCAGCCGGGCTTCCTGCTCTATCCGAACTTAAAACAGCTGTCCTGTCCCTTCTCAGCTGTGTTCCCCAGCCTCAACATTGCCTTCGTAATGTAAATATTGAAGTCACCCACAGGGCTTATAAACACCACATTTCTACCAGTTTTGAAATGTCTGCTTAGTTATTTTCAGGATTCCAATTATTTAAAAAAATTTGGAATGTGTGGGATTTTTTTAAAAGCTACTTTATTATGCTGCTGAAGAAAAGCCTTTTGAAATGTGGGCCATATGGGGGTCTTTTTGTGGTTTTTTTGTTTGTTTTTGGAATGTAGGCTTTCTAGGACAAGAGGCACATGGTATGTCACATTTTCTGAAATGTTAAATCTTTGGTGATTTAACATTTGATGTTAAAGCTTTGGTGATTTCAGTTGTATCAACTGTTAGATTGTAGTGCTATTGTACTACTATTAGTTTTCCTGGCAATAGCAGGGGAAATTCTTGGCATTTTGTTAGCCTGTAAAAAGAAGTTAATTCAATTACAGTTTCTTTCTTTCAATGGCTGCTAATGTTGCCAAATAAGGCTTTGAAATTCCTACTCGTGAAACTTTGCCTTTGTCTGGTCTCAAAAGTCTACATAAGGTCACATTCTTTTATCATTAAAATTTGAATTGAATCAGAAATACTAAAAATAAAAAAATATTCTTGAGGGGTTTTGTATGATAGAAGTGACTAATAATCTCTTATTTAAATAAAATGAATTATTTTGAAACATTCTGATCTCTCTAAGTATATTTAGCACAATGAAAATGTATTTTAATAGTAAAAATTCCTTATTATGAATGGAATAAATCTAGAGTGTTGTTCTCTCTTTCCTTCCATTTAAGTTGTTGTAAGCAAATCTGAATTTTTAGATACTCATTTCAGACTGAAATGTATATAATTTGTCAAAATTTTTGAGGGGTGGACAGATACCATTTAGGAAGATAACTGTATTTTATTACCTACAGAGAAAAATGTTAAAGAGCAAAATCTCTATCAGAACTGAGCTACAATAAGATTTTATAGCTGGGCTTTTCAAGAGGAATTAAAGCTACATCTTGAAATTTCCTGTACCTTTTATCAATGTATTTTTTTCACCAGATAGCTTGAAGATTTATTTTAAGGATCAGTAGAATTTTTGTAATTGAGAGTAATGTTAGAGTCATATCCTGACCAGTATTTGGAGATTTGAGTGCAATAAAATTGCATTATTAAAATAGGAAGAATCAGAACCAACAGCTTAGTTTGTGGGCACATGTTATGTTAAATTTCTAAACTTAGAGAATATGATAATCATGAAGAAAATACTTTGCTTGTTTCCGTTCCTTGCCAGCAGATTTAAAAAGTAAAAGAAGATGTCCTGCTTCCCTAAAATTGTTTTCCAATATGAAGTTCAAGAATATCTCGCCAAAGTGTTCAGAAATAATGAGGTATGTGACATAGTTACCCCTAACCATCACAAAATAATTTTTTTAATATAACTTTAATACCTTACAATAAAATATTATCTTCACATTAAACACAGACTTTTTAATATAAAATTATTATTTCTGCCCATTGGCTCAAAGTAGCATACAAATATTTACATTAAATTGAGTATAAATCAGAATTTAGTTTTGGATCCCACTGAGGAGTGGATCATAGATAATTAAGCACATATTCACCACACGATATTGACAAGAAATACTCCCCTTACCCCAGGGTAATACTGCAGACATTAATTCCTGATGCCAAGGATAAAAAAATGGCTTTTTAATGTACAGGTTTATCAGTATGAAAGTTGCTGATTCATAGGTTGGAATTTAGTTTTCCATTTCTTTAGGGCTGGTCTATGCGCAGCAGCAGACAGCTCTCTAGCAGTTGCTTTGATACTTGCTGCAAACTGTTTGCAGTGATTTTGCTGATACAGCTGTTTTTGCAATAAGTATTTTTTCAGGAAATTTATGAGGCTTCCAGTGGAATTAGGCTTCCAGACATAGACATTTGTCACTATTTCACACCACACAAACATATCCCTCAATTTCTATGGAATGTTTATTCAGTGGGGTTCTTTTACATTGAACAAGAGGCTTCTGAGTGAATCTCCTGATATAAAATCTCTTCTTTCACTTTCAGCTTATCACTGCTTTAGGTGCACAGGAGGCAGAGAAAAAATACCAATCTCTGTTAAGTCATCTATCTCATCCACCAGCTTTTACAACTGTAAGAGTAAATACCCACTTGGCCTCAGTGAAACATGTGAAAAAATTGCTGTTTGAAGAGATCCAGAAGGTTTGTGCAATTTCTTTGTTACAGCAAAAACAGCAGGGTATTTCATCTTTCATCTGAACACGAGACCTTTTCATTACTGAAAACTATACCTTACCTCAATGCATCCAGTGGTATTAACATCATACAATCACACTGATTTCCTGCCAGCATTAACCATTAAATGAAAATTTATTGTGTACCAGTATCCCTCATGTCATCCCTCCAAGAAAAGCTGTAACAGAGGGAAAAGACATCCAACTCTTTTTTTGTATGGCAGATCTAAATCCTTGATAGGATTGATAGGATTTGCTGTGGTAAATAATATAAAGATGTCATGAGTTGGTAAGAGAAGATGACAGACAAGAAGTGCACCTCAGTGTGCTATCTTCAGCATGCTTAGAAGTTCTGTTTAAGACTGAAGGAGAATGCCTGTATATCCAGATATCATTGGTGAAACTCTTCAGGAAAGTGGGAAAATTGGTATGTTTTGGAAATTGGAGCCACGGTGATGCTTTGGAGCCACTGTATTTATCTAAACCTGTTTTTAATCCTTATATAATTTTCTAGATTTTTACTTAATTAAACATTTATTTATCTGGTAATACATAAACACTTATGTTTAAGAAATGTATTATTTTGAAATTGTGTTCTAGAACTTTGTCTAAAAAAGATCTGGTTCTTTAAGTAAATTATTAATGCTAGTGGGTGTACAGGGAGCTTTTGCATGACAGGAGCCAAGACATTTCTGTGATGCAGAAGGAGTTGACAGTGTTCTGCTGGCTGGGATGGTAATGTGTTTTGCTAATTTTAGTTTGATTGTGGAAGTCTGGAAATGGATTTTGCAGGGTTATATTTTGTTTCAAGGGAAAAGGCTTTGCTGAAAACTGACTTAAGACCAGCTTTTCAAAAACTTCTTGTATTTTTAAATGTGATTACATGATAGAAAAGGAAAGCACATAACATTTTTGAACAGAGGTATCATCATAGATTGTTTCCTTTGTTAAGAGAAAATACTTACTTATTTGATGGAAGCTGATTTATGGTTTTACATGGTTTATGGTTATATTTTAGAAGGCTCAGATGAGAAGACATAATATTGTTTAAATCCTGGAATCTTTATAAAATGGCAATTTTTTTATTCAGCTAAATACATAACTCAGCTAACAGTGCCCAAACTTGGACTGACAAGAAGAATGAAAAGTATTGCAAGCATGGCCTATTAAGTAAGACAAACAATTTATGAGTGGAGTTAAACAGTGGCTTATCACAATAACATTTGAGAGTTAACACAGAATACACCCGAGCTTCTAAGGTGGTGTCACTGTGTGTTCTGACAACAACTCAACCTTGTTCCAGAAGAAAGCAAAAACCAGTGATATGGTTATGAGTGTCAGAACACTCTCCCACTCCCTGAAGTAATTTCTCAGTCAATCTCTTTGTGGTCTTGTTATTTCTGAATTTGTTGAATGTTCAGTCTTTTGCACCAGTACATTTAATATATAATGCCCCCTTGCACACTATTTCCCAGGTGCTTTTAACTGTTTTCACTGCTTTTGTGTTTTGTGCTCTACACCTAGAAATTATGAATGGAAAAATGGGTTTCAGTTTAATTAAGTATGTAGATATTAAGTTTATTACTAGTGCTTACTAATTATATTTTTTTTATGAAACAGCAATTTAAAGGACTATGCGTTCCAGTTCTTGAGCACCCAAAACTTCAGGACATTTTACTAATTCCTGTCATTGGACCCAGGTTTGAAATTTTCAGTCTTTAGCCTTAAAATTTTTTTACAGATTTCTTGTTAAACAGTTATTATAACTAACTCACTATAACTGAGGCACAACTTCATTTGTTTTATGACCTGGTGGACAGTCCATACACTAACCAGGTCAGAGTTTTAGTCCTAAAAAATGAAAGAAAACATAGAGTTCTCTCCTTATTTATAAGACTAATGTTTTATGGGGGAAAAAATTACATGTATGCATCCTCCCTGGAAAGCCAGGTAGGTGGCAGATAGAAGAGCCAAACTTTTGTGGTGGAATATAGAGGCTATGGATAAGTACAGCCTGGGTTTTCTTCCGCTGGAAGAAATCAAGTTGGAATCAAGAGTTCCTCAGCAGTTGTTAAACACAAAGTCACTTCACAATCATCTGACACAGGGAGGAATAGAGGACTATTTCTCCATCCCAGTATAATTTATTTGTATTCCTGTGTCAGGTTCATAGTAGTGACAGAATGTACCAGAATCTGCATTATTTTGAGGATTGGTTTTCTTCCTTACACTTTCCTTTGATGCCTCCAGAATTAAAAGAAATATTTTAAATGTAATACATGATAGTTACTTTTTCTCTGTTATATCTGATAAAATCCATATTTGTGAACTAGAGTTTACTTGGGGAGTATTTGGCTTTTTTTTCAGTATACTTTTATTTTTCACTCAACTGCATTTTGTATTTCTAGGCGAGATTTAAACAAGCATGCATCTGAAGTCATAGTTGGAGCCCAGTGTGGATATGCAGTACTTCGAGGAGCACATGTTTATGTCCCTGGAATTGTGTCTACCTCAAGATGTAAGAGTTCTCTAAATACACCCAATTATGTTGTAAAGATGGCAGAAAAAGTGTCACCCTTGAATAATAGATAAATGAATAGTGACACAAAATTGTTTTCTGTTCTCAACTGAAATTAATTTTATGGTTGTGGTGTATGTTGATGAGACTTCTAAAAGTTTTTCTGGCTTTGTTTCTTTTATATTTTCACTATTTTTCATTTTACTTAGAGTAAGTTATATGTAATTATTTTTCACTGGCCTGGCCTGTTTTAAGTTCCTTTTTCCTTATAATTCGTGGCTGAAGTATTAGTTCTCAAGGATTTCAATTTCATTTTTTTAATTTCAAAATATTTTAAAGCAAATTTTCAAAGTAAAACCTGTTTTTTTAGAAGTCTTTTTTACTACTAAATACTATAACTTTTAATAAGGATATTAAGTTGAATAAACTTACAAAAGTTGGTTGCTTAAAAAAAAAGGGATACCACATCTGGGTGGTGACTAGGTGTGTCTTGATTATTTAATAGATACAGATTTTTTGTTTCTTCACTCAGTCATAGAGCCACTTACCCTGATTTAAGTTACAAATCAAAAAAACCAGATTTTTTTTTTCCTAATCCATTGGCAATTCATTTGTTTATATAAGAGAGATGTAGTAAAAATCTTTTTTTCATTGATGAGAAGAAATTTATGTCAGTTTTTATGTCAAATTCTTAAGAAATGGAAATTATGCATCAATGCCTGAGACAAGAGGAAAAAAATCTACATATGCATGCTTTTTGTTCAGCAACCTATTTTTATTCTTTAAATGTCAAATTAACTTTATGTAAAACCAGTATAATTTTGGATGATTCACCTTATTAGTCTATTGTGATGAGATCTAGTGATCATCTTGATTCGTATTATTAAACAAAATGAGTCAGAAAAGCATTTATCAAGTCACTTCATTTCCTTTCAGGAAAAAACCTTCAAGAAGTTTTAAGCATGTGCTTAAATCCAGTTCACTGAACAGGAATGTTTTTCAGTCTAGGGTTTGATAATGAAATAAATATATTGGCATAGCCGTTGTTAGAACTGTTTATTTAGACAACCCCATAAATATTCAAATCCTTTGAGTCAGCTAGTGATTTATCATAATTGCCACATGTAATTATGCATGTAATATCAATTCAAAGAAAATAAAGATACTATAAAACTTATGGAACACTTCAGGGGAATTGCAGATAAGAAAATAAAATAAAAGGGCACACTACCCACTTGATGCCAAATATAATAAAGCTGTATTAAGCACAGATGGTCTAACTAGGCAAAAAAATAGTCCAGCAAGAACATGTATTTGATCACTGAACTTGCAATCCAAATGAGGGTAAACTAATGATCAGGGGGCTTTGAGTTTAATTTAACTAATCAAACTCCAACCTTTATGTTTATGGAATGCTGCTATAATCTACAGAAAACTTTAGAACCCTATGTGGGACTATTGTGTTTGAAAGGATGATTGTCAGCAGAGAGTGAAATAAAATAATTTATGTTTGAATACTGCAAAAGACATTGACAGATATGGAAGAGTTAAATTGCTGCAGGTTTTTGTTCACTGAAGTTTAAGCAGACATTAATACTGAGCAATCACATAATGTTTGTGTCATATTGTGTAAAAATAAGTAGTGTAAAAAATATATTTTGAATGGCTACCCAACAAACACTGCAATTTAAGAATTTCAGGACATTAGGGCATAATCAGAAGGCCACCTGAAAATAGGGAAAAGTATTCTCTGGTACAATTCTGAGAATTCTTAGGAAGCTGAACTGCTATTAGTCTTGTTATATCTTCTTGTTCCTCCAGCCTGTCAGCACCTCAGAAGTGCAATTTTGGAAGTTTTTTTATTGCTATCAGAAGAGGCCTTTATTTTTAAGCATATTTTTCAGCCAGTCAACACATTGCACTTGTTCACTATTATGTAAAATCACCTAAACCATCCCTTTTCTATTTTTTTTCCTAACTCAGAAAGTTTGTTAAGTCTGTAGGATTACACTTCTAGAGTTTGGTGTATATTTATATATTTTACTGATCTGGTGAGTTTTAATTGGAGATATAAAACACTCTAAGATCACTGAGAACAGCAATTCCCTTAAAGGGAAGAGAGCCAGACGAGAACAAGAATATATAATCACTTGTGTCAAAGCGATAAGTAGTTAGAGAAAAGGCAGCTATAGCTATGTTTTAGGTGGCTATTGAGAGGTCATTAGATAAATTTAGCATTCCTGCCTTTGTTCAGTAAGGGTGAGCAGTGTTATTTCATGTACTTGTGTGCTTGGAGCACACGTGGGGGACTGGATCCTGAAGGGTGTGCCTAAAACTTACGGGTGACCTTCCCTTGGTAAAATAAAATGCAGGTTTGTGAAGCCTCTTGGAAAACAAGACACAGTGCCTGACTTGCACCTTGGTGTCTCTCAGTACCTCCAGTGGTTTGGTGGCTGTCATTCACTGTGTAAAACTTTAAAGCTTTATATCAGTTTATCTTCTTTGATTACATTTAGAAAGTGTGAAGTTTGGTATGATAGAAGAGTTGAAGTAAGTAGTCTACTGAAAATCCTAAGTTACTTGGTCACTACTGTTTTGTTAAATATCTTAATGATTTCAGGCTTTCCATTTTTCTTTGTGCAGTTGTGAAAGCTGGAGATCTGGTTTCAGTGTACTCAGATATTGAAGGGAAATGCAAAAGAGGAGCCAAAGAATTCGATGGAGTCAAAGTTTTCCTTGGAAATGGGATTTCAGAACTCAGCCGCAGTGAAATCTTCAGTTCAAGTGGCCCATTGAAGTAAGTCCATTGTACTTGCAATCTACATGTAAAAGTTTGCAAAGGGAAAGGAGAAGGGTGAAAACACTGAATTATTTTGTACCCTGTGTGAAGTCACAAGGTGGCTTTGCACATTGGGATTTCCAATATGTTTTGGTAAGCTGTTAGTTTCATAGGGGATTCAGATACCAATTTACTTGAGAGGTAGGAGGAAATAAGTGGGAGTCTTTTAATAATTTATGTTCATTCAGTTCAATAATATCAAACAGAACTGACAGATGTTCTCACTCTGGCAAAATTGCATTTTGGTGAATTGTGTTGTACTACTTCCCTCTTTGGATGGAACAGAAGTGCAGCTTTGTCAATTTCTCCATCTTTTAAAAATATCTGTAGGGGCTTTTTTATTTTGGTGGGACAAAGAACAGAACATAAGGTCGGGTATCTTAAAAAAATTACTAACATTTGGCAAAGTAGTTACCTATTTCAAGATTACTTGCTTTTCTATTTTGTTGGTGAAGTATGTGGTTTATTCCTCTTGTGTCATCTAAAACACATAGAAAAAGTAATGTAAAAGACTGTGGATGTCAAATTAATGACCAAGACTTTACTTCCTGAGAACAAGTTACAAAAGTTCTTTTGAAAAAAGTACATTTCCAGAGAATTTCTGATTTATGAGTTTAAATACAGTAGGTGTAGTGGTAGGATGTAGCTGTTGAGTTGGTGACATGGAACAGCAGTATGTAACACTAAATCTGGTGTCTGCAAGTTTGCTTTCTCATATCCTTTCTTCTTATTGGACTGTCCAGTACATAGGCAAAATAATACTCTTTCTCTTTAGTAATCTTTTGTTTGTAGACTCAGAGTTGCTTTTGCATGGTTTTCTCTTTATTGTTATCCATTTCTGGTACATTGGTTTAACAATTATATCTGTGTCACAATTTCATCTATATTTAAAACTTTTAAGTGACTTCTAATTTCAAACCACAGCTTTGCAGGCAAATCAATGTTCTTGCAAAGCTTTTCATATAGGATTCCTGTAGTAATTTGACTGAAATCTCAGGAATTTAGGAAATGGAGAAAAATCTAACTAGGAAATCACATGCCAGTGCTCTAGTGCATACACATGGCTCGCCAAAAGCAGTTATGGATTGAAGTTAAGGTATTTAGGTCTGGTTTTGTGCATTTCTTTACAGTATCAAGGCTTGGATTAAATCTTGGTTTATCCTGTGTACAGAACCAGAAATTTGCTTTATGTAATTTTACAGATAGTTCCAATTTATCGTGTAATTATTTTTTGCCATGATTTACTCAACTTAATGATGTAATTTTAGAGAATATCATATTACAAAATCATATAAGTATTTTTCTTGGTTGTTCTTTCATTCTTGTAAGATTGTTGTCTCAAGTTGCTGTTTTGTAAGCATGATGATTATAATTGACTACTGTTAAAATGTATAAAACTGAGTATTAGAATTTTTTTTCATGTTTTTCAGGGGCCTGGGCATAAGAATGATAGAGCCAGTCTACCTTAGTCCTTCATTTGACAATGTGCTCCCTAGTCATTTGTTCTTACAGGTATGTTTGGTCCAACAGCAAAAGTCTGTACTATTTACAGAATAATGAATATTCTCTTAGCACACATTCATGGTTTCTACATTCCTTGTGCATTGTAGCACCTAATTGAGTCTTTAGATGTGAGGAACACAAAGTATTTAAAATGAAGTCAGTGTCTACATGTAGGTGGTTTAATCATACTGTGTCTGAGAGTTGATAGGGGATTTCAAAGCATCATAAGAGATATTCACTTAAAAACGTAGAAATTCCTCTTGCACAGATACTCTGCATAGAACTATCAGTTTTTGGAATCTGCCTATGAACCCTGCAATATGAGCCCCTTTCAAGGTACATAATTCTGTAGATAATCAGGAAAATCTCCAAATATTAGGTTGATTTGAAGCTGTTATTTAAGTATTAAAGACAGCTTTAAAAGGTTTTTATACCTTTGTGTTGAACTGAGAAGTATTTCCATACTGTTTAAGATGCAGTACTGTGCACAATTGTTGCACATTATTTCTCTTCAGTGCAGCTGTTTTGTTTATACAATTAATAGCACAGTTCAGCGTCTTGCTACTTTAATTCAGCAAGCTTGGACTTCTGCATTTTGATCTTACTGTTCTTTAGCTGCACCAATATGTTAATACAGTAAATATTCAAATAAACAGGTTAATATAAAGTATTTGTAAAAAAAAGAGCTGCTGTGCTCTGTGCCAGTATCAGCTTATTTTAGTTGGACTTTTAGCACTGTAGTCTCCTTAGTCATGAGCTCTTAAACTTCAATCATAAATACTCAGTCATAGCTTTAAATAAAAAATGAGCCACTGGAGACTTCTTACGTAAACTGTCCGTTATATATAATACAAATAGTTAATTTTCTGTCAAAGAACTGAGAGCAATATCATAGGTGTGTTCCCTGCTGAATGAATTGTATTTTTAAATGTGTTTGCCGTTCCATAATAAAGGAGTTGGTGCAGGGTTTAAAGTTTGAATTCTCCAATATTTGTTTTTATTACAGAATTTACCTTCTGTGGTTGTGAGCCACATTTTAAATCCTCAACCAGGAGAGAAAATTTTGGATATGTGTGCTGCACCTGGAGGAAAAACAACCCATCTTGCAACACTAATGCATGATCAGGTAAGAGAAGTAATTTGGCATTTTCTAAGGAAGAAAGTCTGATCGCTGTTCATTTGTATAGTTCTTTTCACTTAACTATTAGAATGCACAGATAATTTACAGCAGCAAACAATTAATATTTTGACATTTTACTTACCAATGTATTTTGCTACACATCAGTTACTGAAATGGGCAATGGACAATTTTTATCAAGTATTCACCATCAGCTATAAAATCTTATTTTGCTACAGATTGATAGTTGAAATTTATGTAATTTCGCTTTTTAAAATGTTACTGAATTATTTTTAATAATAGAATTTTTTACATGCAAGAATATGCTGGACTCATGAAACTGAGATGCATAAAAATCAGGGGTTACTACTCTGTGCCAAAGAAACACAACTCTCTACAAAAACTTACTAAAATATTTCTAATCCAGTTAGGATTGTTCTCAGTAAAAATTATCAATTCTGCATAGAGTAGGATGAATTTCTAATCTGAATTTCTGTCATTCTATGGTAGAATGTCATAAAATCCAAAACTATCTAATGAGAAAGCAATAAAAATCAGAAAGCAATAAGAATCAGAGAAAGACAAAGGAGGGGAGAGTGTAATAAAATAAGAATGTATAAGATTACAGCTTTGCATATGTTGAAGTGTTATGTGCACAGTGAAATACAGAAATGCAGGTTACCCTTCTCTAGCAGAGAGGAAAAGCATGTAATATTTCCTCTGAATTTTTGTAAGTCTTTATTATTTTGGTTGAAATAGGGTTATTAGAATATATCATTGTTTAGAAGTCTTGCAGTTACATTATGCAGTACTTTGACAGGCGCCTGTGCATAAATGTGAGGCACAGCGTGTAATGGTATGAATGTATTGAGAAAAGGCATGTGTTCAGTTCTGTGATGGTTTGTCTGTGGAAGTGTTTTTTTCCATCAGTATGGAACAATGGGAAGGCATTAAAAATGCATTAGACAGTCATTAGACATTATACATATATAAAGCTTCCAGTAAAGAATTTCAGTGTGATAAATAAAGGAAGTCTACAAATCATGTATTTATGTCATGGTTTCATTTACATCTATATTTTTTTCCATCTGTGTATCTACACTTTGTATAAATTTGCAGAACTGCTTTTTCCTTATTCACTTCACATATTTTGATTGTGCTTGCCTGCAGCTGATGTGGTAAAGATTAAAAATACAGATGGTAAATACTTATCTCACTTGATTTTCATTTTCTGAGTATATAATTTAATTTAAGATATGGAAGATAAAGGTATGGAAAAAAAAGCTTATTTTTTAAGAATGCAGATTTTAAATTCCATTCACAGATTTTTGATACTGATGCTTCACAGCATATTAGACCATTAACACTTCAGAAGATTTAAATCACTCTTACTTTTTTGTGATATAATTGTAAACATCACTATATTGTTTTTAAATGATATAACCAAGATGTTAAGATTACTCTATAATGTTAAGAACTCTAAAATAAGAATAGGGAATACTTAAAGCTTGATAATTTATTATTATCTGCATCCCAGTCTAGACCACTGTTTTTTCCAGATGACTCATAAGTAGTTGTTCTGGCAGTGGCTGGCATGGGCCAAATGGAGAAGAGTTGTCTTGCAGCTTGTTCTTTTCTCGGGAGAAAAGAACAGACATGCTGTGAATAGCCCATCCCTTGAAGTGTTCAAGGCCAGCTTGGATGGGGCTCTGGGCTACCTGCTCTTGTGGAAAGTGTCCCTGCTCATGGCAGGGATGAACTAGATGATCTTGCAGCTTATCTTTACTGATTTTTGTTTTACTTTTTAAACTATCTTAGTCATTTTACCCTTCTATAAGCCTTTAGAGAGCCATCACCAAACAGAAAAAGTTGTTTTCTCAGCATACTGTGTTTGCTGTAGCAAGTCTAGTACAAGTTTTTGGTAGGGTTGTTCTCTTCTGGATTTTACTGATGCTACTTTTTGCTTTCCTTTGCAAAGATTTCATGTTAACAGATTTTGTGTAGCAGGTAGTGGTGTGTGTCTTTTTTTGATTTATTTTGGGGGAGGAAAAACATCATATTTTTACATAACAGGAATCATGTAATTGTGATTTTCCTCCCCTCACCTCTAAACTTATTTTAGTATTTACACTATTTCCTGAAGTAACTTGAGTGCAAGTATTCCAATATGAGTCTGAGCAAGTCAGAGACATTGCTGTGGGCCCCATTTCCTCAGCTCTGTGCTGTAGTGTGATCATATTTCCTACCCTCTCCATACAAATTTAAAACCTGTTGACCTATTTTAGTATGTGTTTGAGGCTTCTACCCTCATTCAAATGATTACATTTTTATCTTAGTGCCCAGTTCAGCAGTTCAAAGGAAACAAAAAGAAACAAACAAGAAAACCACTTGCCAGCAGTCAGATATTACAGCATCCCTTAGAGTGACAGTGCCAAGCAGTCGGAATGTGCGCAGCTTCAGACTAATGTGGCTGTTGTGGAAAATGTGGGAACAAGGAGTGCAGGAGTGTGGGTTTAAGAATAAAATAGTTCTGTAGGGAAGACTATGCTTTATCTATTACACTGCCAGGGTTGGAGAAAGGGATTAAACGGCTGGTTCCAATTTCCTATGCTTTTGATGAAAACTTTGGGATTTTTTTTCAGGGTGAAGTTATAGCCATGGACAAGATAGCTAACAAGGTCAAGAAAATCAAGCAGAATGCTGAATTGCTACAGTTGAATTGCATTAAGGCCTTTTGCTATGATGGAACAAAGGCCCTTTCAGCAGAGAAGAGAGAGGATAAACAAGGTAAAATAAACAATTTGGGTAGTAGTAGCTTTTAGAAGAAAATACTAATGTTTTGCAAAAACAGTATTCAACCTGTCACAGGTTTACAAGTTCTTGAAATTTTGGCAGATACCTAATGCTTCAACACTGTGAATGCACTTCTGTTTTCTATTCTTTTGTGATTATCAGCTTCTCTGTGAAGCAAATAGAAAGTCAAATTATCTGTCCTTGTCACAACCTAATATTCTCAAAGGAAATGCATTCCTTTCCCAGATAATATCGAAGACTGAAGAAGCCTTAAAGCTTCTTTCATGATCACATTTAACCCCATACTGGGAAGTTTATGGGCTAGTCTGAGAAAAAAATTATTTTTGCAGACTTGCTTCACTTTTCTGCCTCATAATCCTCATCAGTAAAATGGAGTTATTAATACCTAACTCCCAGGAGTGCTGCAAGGTTTAATTCATCGATGTTTGTTCAGCTGTTCAAGGGAAAGTTATATACAAGCACAGTGTATTATTTTAAGTAATTTCATTTGCTTTTTTGAAGCGATGCAGTTACAATATTGGTTCTGTTCCCATGATGGAATGATTTAAATGGTATCTGCTGCCTTGATTATTTTTAGTTTGTTGTGCAAAGTATGCTGTTCTTTCTCAGTCTATTTTATCTCAGTCACTGGTTAGGCAAAGTAGGAATCAGATTACATAATTCACCTTCTTTGTCCCTATGCATTGCAGTTATTCCTGGTTTGGAGGAACAAAGGTACTTTCTTAAGAGTCTTTTTATGAACATCAAATATTGTAGGTGGCAAGTAGCAATTACAGAGATTAACTAGAGCAAGCTGTAATACTGAGAGATAATGAAGGCTTTTCTGTACATTCCTGAAAGTAACACATTACATATTTTGAACATTTTAGTAATGGATCAGAGGTAGATAAACCAGATAGACTCATTTTGTAGTCAGGAAAAAGCTAGGTAGCAGTAGTGTGATAATACAAGTTTGGCAGCAGTGATGCTGAGCCAGTCTCCCCAGCACTGAGGAGATAGAAACTTCTGGGCTGTTGAGCCATTGGGGTACAGATTAAAGGACAGGCTCTGCATATGGAAGATACATATTGTCATCTAGGTAATAGTCAGAAATTGTTCTCTTCAAAATCCTCTTTTTAATGAATTGTTCGTCCATGAGAAGTTGCAGTAGTTCATGTGATTATGAAGTGCTTTATTTTATATAGCTATGCATACATCACAAGAAATAGTTATTATATAGACAGTCCAGTTATTATAAGGCAGTCTTAATGATTAACTACGGGTTTGTCTCAGTAAAGGTTTGCACACTTTTGAGCTGACTGTGGTTCTTTACAGCCTATATGTGCAACTCTGTACCCAGCACCTCTGACCAATCATATTGCAACTAGTTTGATTACTTTTACATTTTTCTTTAAAATTACTAAATTGAGTTTAAAAAAATTGCCTAGTGGGATCGTTTCTGAGCTCATAGAACTTAAACTGTTCAGTTTTCTGGGAGATGGAAACTACCACCAGCAGTGCTGAGGCTTGCCTCTAACTAAAACTAGTTTTTCAGACACTCTCTGTAGCACATAAATGTTTTATGTCAAGGAAGCAGTAACAGCTTCTCCTTACCTACAGTGAAATCTCAAGGAAGGAAACAGCCACATTTTACATTACTAACTGTTTTTTACAGAAGGACCTCCATTCTTACCAGAGTCATTTGATCGAATTCTTCTTGATGCTCCATGTAGTGGAATGGGACAGAGACCAAACATGGCTTATTCCTCAACTTTAAAGGAAGTGACCTCATATCAGCCACTACAGCGCAAGCTTTTCACTGTGGTATGTGTTAAACATCGAGTAGATAAGCTAAGTTGAACACAAATGCTTTTGTAGCATAAAACTTACCCAAAAAAAAGGTGCCTCATTTTCCCTGCTTTGCAGCCAGGAAGTATTAGGGTCCTGTTAACCTGTCAGCTCCACCAGATCTTTGCTAGGTGGAGCCAGTTCATTGGAGGATGGTAAAGGTCTGTGTAATCCATAATAAATAAAAAGCTTTGTGTTCTTTCATTTCCCTCAGTTTCATCGGTTTTACATGATAATAAATACAAAGGTCTAGTCATGGAGCAGGTGACTTAGGAACATGCTAAGGAGTGTGCTTGGGCTGATGCTGAAGGATAAGATGAAACTTGTCAGAATCTGAATGATACATATTCAAAGTGAATGACAGCTTGAAAAGCAGCATAGATATAGCTTCCATGCCAAATATATGGAAACAGTTGACATCTACTATAACTGACATAAGTATTGTGTACCCATGGTTGGCAGCAGGTGGTGAAAACAGATCTAATCTGTCTGGGGTATGCAGAGCTGTACAAATAACAAATCTTACAAGGTGAGTCATCTCAATGACATTAATAAACTACATGAGCTATAATGCCTGTTTTGAAAGAAGAATCTTTCTAGTCCATGTTATCCTTTGCTGTATTCCCTGAGAGGAATTAGTATCTTAACAGTTTGAGTTTAATTAAGTGTTCAGTTTTAATATTCTAGGTACATGGGTTATTAGTTAATGTTGCTTAATATGAAAGTTCGAAATTTAAAAATAAGCTGAAATATTGTTTATTTCTCCCTGCAGGCAGTGAAGTTGCTGAAGCCAGGAGGTGTTTTAGTATATAGTACATGTACAATTACACTTTCTGAAAATGAGGAGCAAGTTGCTTGGGCCCTGAAAACTTTTCCATGCCTCCAGCTTCATCCACAGGTAATGCTATTTTCAGGGTACTTCACACAATCTAGTGATCTTCTTTTGGAACTATAAAGTTAGATGGTATATTTACTATCAATAAATCTTTTTTTTCACCATGGACAATTTTAACTGCTGTGGATAGAAATAACAGAAGCATTTCTGAGGCTTTTTTTTAAAGTCGGTTTTTGTGCTTAATTGAGCTTTATTGAGGCATCATTAAGTATTTTCCCATTCTATATTGTGAGGGTTTTTTTTATTTGTACAACAGTCTTTTAAAACACAACAGGGACAAAAGATAGGTTGGACAGGTTAAAATGCCTCTTGCAATTTCTTTAAAGCACATATATTTTATTCTCTTCTTTTGCATATTCAAAGGAGGCGAAATTATGGGGTTTTTTTTGTTAATGCCACTGAAGTCATGAAGACTTGCATATAAAGTATGGGACATAAATGAATATAAAATTTTGTTTCAAAGGAGAATGTTATATATATGGGACCTATTTTTCATTTATTTAAAAGGAATGAGGGAAAGAAATTATTTCAGGCTCAATGTCCCAAGAAGGTACCTTGTCTTTTTTAGAGTCAGTGTCTACCATTAAGATGTCTGGGAGGAGATGATATATATAGGGAGATACTAGAATGTTTTTATCTATACTAGCTACAGTTCATACAGTTCAGAAATATCTGTTACCTTTTATAATACTTCAGGGGGGTTTATCATCAGACCATGTGTGTCCCACTCCCTCTTTGATGAGGAGTTGGATGTGGTAGTTGTTTATCATCATGGCTTTGAGGAAAAGTCTAACTTTGTTTGGCTTACACATTCTGTGATTACTCGTACCTGTCTTAAGAAGCTTAGATGAATCTTCAAATGAAATAAAAAAAAATATACAATAGCTGTACAGTGACAAATTAATATGATGGCTGGTAAAGATTTAACAGAACTGAAGCTCTTCATCAAAGCTTTTTATGGTGTGTTCTTATGTCTGTATTCTCACCATCCATTCACTAAGAATTTTTCAGTTCCAAACATTTCAACTGAGATTATACATTTAACGTAACAGCATAAAAAATCCTCCTGGATAGAATGACAGAGTGAAACATAAGCCTTATTAACTCAAATGCAAGATTAATTTTTGCTATAGAAACTTCCTCTCACCAGTAATATCAGTCTTGAATAAAGCACTGTTTTTCACACACATGCCATATCTGTAAAAATTAATCTTTTATGTATAGTATATTTTAAATTAGATGACATTGAATTGTTTACCCACATATAATTTATAATACCTAATAACCAGCTCCCTACCAGTGTAAACTAAGTTGATATTTTTAAATGAACATGAAACAGGAGTCTACAATCTACTTACCTCATGTTCCTTTATGTATTTATTTCCCATATTCTTTAGTCTCAGTAGATGCCTCCTTTTTTATCCAGTCCACTGTTTCCCACTTCCTCAGTTTGGCAACAGATCTTGGAAGCGGATATATTGGGTAATGTGGGCAAGGAAAAAACAGGAGATGGAGCCATAAGCATTGTTCTTGTAGGTGGAGGTTACCATGTGGCAGCTGCTCCTTTGTGCAGACTTCCACTTAGGAGTGTACACAGGAGGTACTGCAGATCAGCTTAAATGCAGTAACTTAACTGGAAGGAAAAATGAAAAGGTAGAGGAGGACACTGGTCTGCCTTTAAGCAAGTTACTTGAACCTGTGGAATACTGTTTTCCCTAGACTTCTACCTTTTCTTCCTTCTATTACATCAAGTTGCTCCCCTTGTCTCCCTTTGCATGTCACTTTTCTCTCAATTTACAATAGACACCTGTGTTTGTCTTTTACCTGGAAAGCATTGAAACCCTGCTGAGGGAAGGGAGGATCAGTCTGCAGCCCCTTGGCTGCCCAGCTCTCCAGCATGCAGGACGTGGTTAAGCAGCTAACTCACATCATGTGCTGACTGGGTGAGCTCATGTGTTAGCAAAGTGTGATGGCTGAAAAAACACTCTGCTGTAGGCTGCATTATGGACTACATTAGACTAGATTGACAAAGGAGATCTATTTTTGATATTGCAGTGCCAGCTTTTGCACACTTTGTTCCATCTCCTTACTGAATGCATTGAAAGAACAATCCAGCTAAGAATTGTTTTTTCCAGGAATTAGGGTATTAAATAAGAAGCAGTCAAGGCTATTCACAAGAAGTATTGAGACGAGGGCTGGGATTTTAAGTTCTCTCCAGGATTTTGAAGCCAAATGTTATCTCTTGAAATTGATTATTCCCCTTTCTCTGCGTCACAGGCACGCATATGTAACAGTAGTCTTATTTACCTTTTTGTCTTATTAAATTACTAGAAAACTCAAAGGTTATGTTTTTCTGCTGCATCATCTGCCAAAATGATGCCTCTTTAGGCAGTAAAATATTCTGGACTGGGGCTTTAAGTCTCTCCAGTTGAATTTTTTACTGTGAAGTATCCCAGTGTTTTACGTTGGACATCAGGAAGAAGTTCTTTACAGAAAGGGTGACTGAGTGTTGGAATGGGCTGCCCAGGGAGGGGGTAGAGTCACAGTCCCTGCGGGTATTTAAGGGAAGACTGGACTGCAGTTGGTGCCATGGTACAGTTGACAAGGTGGTGTTAGGTCATAGGTTGAACTTGATGATTTCCAAGGTCTTTTCCAACCTAGCTGTCTCTGGAATTCTACTGCTATTGCTGATGATACTGGTAATGGGCTAAGGATTCCCTATTTTTGACCTAACTAATAGCTATTAAGTCAGTACACAGAAGTGCTGAATCATTTAGAAGTGGCAACCTAAACCCTTTAGACTGGCTGTCTGCTGGTAACAGCTTTCTTGGGATGTTTCAGCCCTTGGAGTGCTGAGTTGTTTTAGACCTGTGCACCTGTCCTCAAAAAGCACTCTAAACTACAGAGATAAAGTGGATGAGGGGCATCATCACCTCCTCAAAATACTTGTATATATCTTGTATAAATCTTGTATATATGTTTGAATAATATTGGCCAGATGAAGGCAAGAAGAGCCACATTACTTCTGGATCTTCTGGTGTGATTGATACAAGCATAGCTTGTCCATGTGAATTCTTTGGTAGCTCTGCAAATCCTCAGCAGAATACATTTAGGGCATTTAAGAATTTTAGAGATGCAGTAATTTGCTTTTCTTTGTTACTTGAACAGGAACCTCACATTGGAGGAGAAGGCATGAAGGGAGCTGGACTATCACTTGATCAGTTGAAGCTGCTGCAGAGATTTGATCCATCTGCTGTGACATTGCGAGGAATGGATATTAATTCTTTGCAAGATTCCACAGAAGATGACCTGATTTCTTTGGCAAATAAAGACTGTATAGGATTTTTCATTGCTAAATTTATTAAATCGAACAGTAAATAAGGATTTGGGAATGCAACCTGAAAAAATACCTCAGTGAGTCTAAGAACAGTTCAGACGTGAAGTGCCTTTCTTGCTGCTGCAATGTTACCAAGCCAACGGGCTGACGGCAGGGTTGCTATGGCAGCACTAAAATCTGCCAGCTGTTCTGATGGGAAAGAGCCACAGGTTGCAGCAGAAAAGTCATGGTTGGGGGAAGGGTAGTATCATTTGTAAGTCTCCCTCTGCTTTTGTAGTTACAGCAGGTCAGTGCCTGAATGACAACTCAGACTGCTGTCTACTCTGGTTTCCCCTTATCTGGTGCGGCAAGCGTAGGAAGGGATGTAAAGCTACTTTACAAAATGCAGACATAAAAAAATAGATGGGAACTATTACAATGAATTTTGGAAAGGGTAGTTTCTATGGAGGTTTACCAATAGTTTCCTTAAATAGTGCTTCTCAAAACACTGCAACATTTTACAAAGAACTGTTTTATAAATTGATACTTAGAACCTCATTTCTCTTTTATTTTAATACAAGCAAGATTCTCTGTACACATAGTATATACACAAAATACGATTAGGCTTTGTAGCATGTCTTTTATAGCAGCATGAATATATTAAACCATCTCACTCTGGGAATGTAAATAAATATTGTTTCAACATCAAACTTCCCATGCATAAACTGTATTGGTTCTGAAATAGCCTATTGGACTGGCTGACAAGTGACAGTTTTAAAGTCAAACATTTGTAACAGAAGGGGCTACAATTATGATTAATATCAAAAGACAGAAAACAATGCATAATACCATCTGAAATGTTGCAAATCACCTTTCAAACAACTAAGGACATTAACTGTTTATTGGTTAGAAAGCATCACCAGCTAAAATCATGAAAATTGAAACTGGGGAAGCATGCTAATGAAAACTGCCTTAGTACATTGCTCAAAGTTTAAATAATCTAAATTTCTTGAAAGATGTTAGATGTATTTGAAAATTCTGCTTCAGTTCAGTTTGAACAGTATTTTCAGTCGTGCTGGAACTGACAATAGCACTAAAGAAGGAAGGCTAAGGACAAGGTAAAACAGAAACTGACATCTGTGTGTGTTTGGTGCTTTCCTCTCACTCATCAATTTCCAGTTTTAAAAAGCATTATCTGAAAAAGTCTGTCTTCTCACACATAACTATTTGGCTGGATTAAAAAGAGCAATAGTTCTTTTATAATTTTTCTTTCTACTATAAGAAGTGCATTTTGTATTTCCTTGCAATCAAAACAATCTCTAGAATTCTCTTTTTCGGTATTTATATTTTCCATAAATGTTTTGATACTGTATGTTTCCTCCTGCTCTTGAATAAAAACAAAATATTTCTTCTGTCCTGCCAAGGTTGACAAGTACATCCTCTGTAAGGCCTGTCCTAGCAGGATAGGAAAATGGAATTCTTGTCTACTACTTCTCTACTTCTGTTGGTCATTCCGTACCATTAAACACACCATGTGTAAAGAAATTTTAAGGTCATTTTCTTTCATCAATAGCAGGTGAGATATCCTATTTAGAGTCATGTAAGATCATACTATAATCTTTCTACTCTAAATACGGTGAAAATAATTACCTGGGAACAAAAGGAATGAATCTTTTTATTGTAGGAACATGTTGAAATCTTTAATTCAGTGCTAGTAAAAAAGCATGTTCTTTTTTGCAGATTATAGAAATTTTGTAAACATTAATCAGCACACATAAACTATATACTGAAGTCTGTGTATTCATATAAAGTAAGGAAATTTACCTCCAGTTTCAGTAGCAGGATTTGTGCAATGCTGAATTTGAAGGAATTAAGATTGCTGAATTTTTAGTGGAATATTTGTTGAGACATCTCCCACTTCCTTTAGTTTTGGATGACAGGCATTTTAAGGAGGTGACCTCACTTGATATTATAGGAGAAGTTTCTTGGGGGAGAGAAGAAAATGCAACTAACTTTTAGGTAATTCCAGTGTAATTGCAGAGCAGACTTCACCTGAAAAAATTACTGATATATGAACTTTAGTTATTAGGGTTGTTTCTGCAAAAGTCAGCTGCTAGCCTTGGAAGAGCACTCAGCATATGGGAGGGATTGGCCTCAGCTGTTTCCCGAGGGCTCTGTCTCTCCTGGGAACGGGGGAGTGGCTTCATCAGGCAGGTCAGAACAGAAACTCCGTTAAGATGCTGCAGCCCTTGAAGGAGCCAGCATCCTTTCTCTCGCTACAGGTGTGGCTAAGTTAGATGACTAAAGTTGGATGGATGCCCTTTTTCTTTCCCAATCTTACTGTGACTTTAGAAGTGGTAGGAATTTTTCACTGACACAGTTCTGAAGGATAGTGTATATATGTTTTAAACATATGATTACTTTCCTGATAATCTTTACACGCTGAATCATTGTGCTTCACCAGTTGATGCTGAAGCACAATGGAATATATTTATATATTTTTATATATATATATATGAGATATTTATATATTAAATTTAAAAAGTTATTGTCATTATAATGAAAGATTAAACCTACAAAATAGATAGATTAGGCATGCAATCAGATCCTGTAGTTAAGAAAGTCTGAAAAGTAGTTTTCTCTATTTGCAGAAATAATGATTAGCAATAGTGCCAAATCTAAATATCTGTCTTGGTCAGTAGAAAGATACTAAAATAGGCAGCCTCATATATTATGAAATTATAATACAGCTTTTTCTTGTTTCAGTGTCACAGAATGCACCAATTTTTTGGATCACAGGATTTCATATGCTTCTAAAGGAATGGGCTGGTGAAGGTGATCAATCAAGAAATTACTTTCGAGTGGGTAGTTTAAAATATAAAGAACCTTGTTTTTATGTTTGATTGTTCATGAATAAAAAGTTTATGAGAAAATCCAATTTTCTACTGCTAGAATTCATTGCAGAGTAGGTATGCATGACAGATAAAAGTGGCAAGAATAAAGGAAGAAATGAGAATATGGATGAGTTAAAAGAACCTGCTTAATCTCTATTATATTTGATATAAACCTTTTCTGGGGCTGCGTAGGAATACATTTCTAGGGTGGTAAGTTATAAAAAGAAACTGTCTATAAAACTACTGTAAGCTCATATGTAATAGTTTGTTATATAAAAGTGGGGAAATAAATTACAGACAAATTGCCAAGCAATAAAATTGACTGAATAACATTTGATTAAAAACATTCACAGTAAAAATGGCATCCACATATTTTACAGATGATAGAATAATTATGATTTTGGTGAAAGATCTGCATAAAGTAATAAATATAAGTAAATGTACACCAGAAATGCTGTATTACATTCTGAAAAATAACTTCTCTGTTTGGACTTTGTAATAAAGTTTTTTGCAATGTGCTGAATTTTTATGGATGGAATAGAATTAAAGTAAAAAACATTTGGAAAACATCTTTCAGCCTGATGTTTTAAAGCAATCAGAGGTCAAATGTAACCACAAATCAAAATACCTTCTGAAGAGGCTTTAGTGACTAACAAACACAGGGGGTGGTTTACAGCAGCTCTTTTCCTTTGAACATCCATTGATTAAAAGCAGTCGGACCACTCACTTCATTCCAGCTGTGGGAATGATAATGGACCCCATTAAAACCTTTGAAGGTGTCCCAGAACGTGAGAATGACTTTACAAACCAACAGAACTTAATAATGGTAATTGCTAACAGATTCATAAAAGACAAAATATTAAGGGGCAGTGTATTAGATCTGGGCAGGAACTGCGTGTATAAGATGAATAACCAGGTATGCAGGGAGAAATAAAAATGGGCTTCTCCCTTTATTCAGGGTTCAGTGAGTGGAATTTCATTTCCTTATCCTCCATTTACAATAAGGGCTATAGGCTAAGAGTATACAGATTTCTGTGAAAAGAGGTGCTCCACTGAAACTCTTTGTGGCTTTAGAACTGATCTTCATTAAATAGGTCCAGAGCCTTATGAGAATTCTTTGAGAAGCAAAAACTATAGAACTCTTCAAATTCTGAACTCTTGATGCCAGTCACAGAATATGAATTCATGAGCATTCTAGAATAATTATTTAAATTCTAGGCAGTAATTTATAGATCCATTTAGTAAAAAATAGTATTTTCAGCATATAACTCGTACTGATGCTGCCTTTGTGCACAAACCTGTTTGCCTTTTCCTCCCCACTGTCCTGTCCCTTAGCAGGTCTGGAGACTTTTACTGTCACCTCCTTCCAGTCCCTCTGGAAGAGAATTCTTTCTTCCATGACATCTGTGTGACACTAGACAACTGGTAAAGAATAGACTAAGGCTACTCAGCACTGATGTATAGTCATTTGTAAAAACACATAAGAATAAGGTTCACATCTAACATATACATGCAGATTTTGAAATGTATCCCATTCCTTCCATATATTGAAATTCTTTAGAAAAACACAGAGTTGAGCTGCCCAGACTTACATATCACTTAACTATTTTATCTTCCTCCCTTTTCTTCTGTTTCACTGGTTTTATGATCTTTTTAGTTCATTTGAATGGAAATTTTACAGGTTGTCTTTTACCAAAAATCCGTAAGACTCTGGTACTCACTGGGACCCCTACCATTTCTCAGATTCAAAACCCCTGAAACCAGATACAGAAATATGAACTCATTAGTATCCTAATGCACCCAGTATTAAACCTTCTAATGGCAAAACTTTGCAAAGACATTTCATCAAAATAATCTTTGATATGTCCTCCACTTGGAGTATTTTTAAAGCTTCTTATGACATAACTCTGTTAAAGTGCTTTTCAAAGTAGTGCTCAGCAGGCAGGTGGTATTGTGCAATATATGTAGTACAAGCTCACATTACAAATGATTTGTCACTTTTAAAACAGAAACTGAAAAAAAAGTATCTCAGCTAATAAAACCTATTCAGTGAGTCTGCCTAAGGAATATATGTGTTTGTTAGTATGTTGTCTCTACATAAATAGCAGCACTATATAAAACACAATTCTATGACCAGTTGGATTTGGATTTGTTTTTTGTTTTTTTATGTTTATATTCCATGAATCAATACTTAAATACTAGGGCTTGGACTATGCTCTTTATTTTCTCATTTATTTGTCTATACACAACTGCCTATGCCATAGTTTTCATATACTACTACTCAGTGCTTTGAAATTCTGCCAAACATTCCTTAAAAAATACTTTAAGAAAGCTGAAAAATAAACACTCTCTGGAGCAAAAGTAAAAAAAACCAAACAAACAAACAAAGCAAAAAACCACACACCCAACCATAAACCCAACAAAAAAAAGAACAAAACATTCAAGGTATTGAAGTGAAATCACTTCTTAGATGACATAGTTGTCATGAGTTGCAGGGAGCAACACCATTTACTGCAGCTGGTAAATTAGCTAAAGCCAGGCTATACAGAGCAAGACAATATAATTTTCTTCTCACTTACATGTGATCTGATATGATTCAAACAACAGTCTTTTAATGCCATTTTTTACAGATACCCTGAAAATTCTCTTGTATCAAAAACCAGTTTATATACTCTTCTATATCCATTTAGTAATACAACAGATCTACTTACCTATTCTTCCTTTCTCTATAAAGACATTTAGTGATGCTTAGAAAATGATGAGAATTTCATTTCTAGAAAAATAACCTTTTTTCTTGTGTTCCCCACAGTTCATGCTTTGAGCCAAAACCTACCCTTGAATAACCACCACAGTCAGCAGCACTGGGAGGAATGGCCAGATAACTGACAACAGTATTTCCCACTCTTAGTTTGTCATCAAAATGCTTATAAAGCATCAGGGAGAGGGGTAGGAGAGGAAGGGTAGAGAATGTTTGAGCAAATTTCTTGGATGCTGGGCTAGGAGACTGGAGAAAGCATGCACCTGCCATATATCTTATCCATTTCACTAAAATGATATTCAAAATCAGGCAATGCTGATATTACCAGAATTGAAATAATAAATAAAAAGAACTTCCAGCTAAACTAATTATTATCACACTACAGTCTTTATATAATGTGCTATTTACAGGGAAATACAAAAAGTATTTCATTAATGTAAGTACTACAAAGACTACATGTGATGCAGAACAGCTTTTACACTAGGCAAGGGTATGGAACCTGGAGTCAAAAATAATAGAGAATTTCCCCCCACTTACCAGTGCAACAGGTGTTCAGTGCAAAACAAACTGTGTTCACTCCCTTCGATTTCAATGCATTTTCTCTAGAAAGCCCCTAAGTCACAGTCATTTTTCTATGCTCTCATCAGCAGCACAACAGCTTTGGTGAAGGAAAAGCAATGAGCTGGCTTCAGAGTGGGAATGCAGAGAATTGGCAAGTGTAGAAAAAGTGGAGAAGCTACAAAAATTTATTTTCCAACAAAATAACTCTCCACAAGCTGTGTAAACTTTTCTTACTAAAACAAATACTCTAAAACACAAAGATTTTACATTTCCAGTGAAACTCACAGTAATATTTGCCTGTTTTTACTCTCCTGAAGTCTCAACAAAGAGCCAGCAGATTTATGCTTTCCCAATTACCTGGGTCAGTAAATTCCCTCATATTCCCTGAATGCAATTTGGATTTTTAAATTAAGAGACAGAATGTAGAAATAGACTTTTTGGGCCTTTGAGTAACCTTTGTTTTCTTCAGTAGATTCTCACAGTTTGCTGCCTAACGTGCACACGCACACGAACATCAATCCACCACCCACCCACTCACATACACACCTCCAACATGTGTGCTCTGATCACTGACAGTAGAACAAAAATTAAGCTGTGCCCATTGCAATATTGTGACCTGAACAGAGAAGAATAATTTATAGTGGTAAGTTCATTATCTTTACCGTAACTTTAAAATGCAAAATTTCGTGTGCAAGGGCAGCGTAAGTTTTAAGAGTTACACCCTTTATCTCAAGCACTCATCCATATTTACAATAAGTATAAGCTTTCTGCTACAGAAGAAAAAGTATTTAGATTGAACACTGTTACAGATCTCCTAAGTGAGGCTAGTTCCAGTTGCCAGTAATTCAAAAGCAAATCTGCTGACTTGGCATTAGGACTCTAAAACAGTGTGATCAAACTTATATAGTAAGAAGGTGTCTGCAGAAATAACATTTATAAACTGTATATACAGTACACAGTACCAGTACATAGAAAATAGATTTTGACTCCATGATCCCCTGTGTGTAAGGCAAGACTGAATTCTGTCTTCATACGGAGACCACCAGAGGTACAAGCAACAGAGTGGTGCTTAAATCAATATGCAAATCAAGTGCATACAAATTAAAAATCAGAGCAGACAGAAAGTTTTAGATTTTTTTATGTGCTGATCCTGGCTTGCTGAATACATGGGAAGTTATTAAACATCAAATGTACCTTTTTTTTAAAAAAACACTAACAACACCTTGATGGCAACAGATATTGTTCAAGTGGCAGCTACCAAAAACAGCTTGAAAAATGTCATAGTACAACATCAGGAACTCTTCAGTTGTACTACACTAATTCATATAGCACTAACAAAAAAAATAAGTATATGAATATTCTATTTCATGCTATTGCTATGCAAGCAACAGCAATACAAATCAGCATACAGAAGGATACCATATGTTCTGCAAAGAAGAACCCAAGATATTTTCAAGGGGCATTGTTACAAGACTTCAAAGAAACACAAGACTGCCAGAGGCAAAAGTTACTGACGGATGTAAACATCCCTGTTCCACTCTCCTGCATCGTTACGTTTTTTGGATATCACTTCCCCATCCTTGTCACAATATTGGTCCCTTGATTTATGACGACTGCGCTGTTTGTTGCATTCATTGTGGTCCTGCTCGCGGTCCCTCTCCTTTGAGCGATGCCGGGACTCTCTGTGTCTGTGTTCACTGATCCCATGGGACTCGTCTCTGTGATTATGATCCCTGTGAGAATCATAGTGGTCACCATGCTCATGTGAGTAGTCCTCCTTTGGCTCTACGTAAGCTGAATCTCTGCTGTCTTGTGTTTCTGAGTCAAAAGTTTCTTGCCTGTGAAGGCCTCTGCCACCACTGCGATGGTTGTGGTGCTGGCTGGAGGAAGAGCGGTGCTGGGATTTCTTGGTGGGTTCGACCCTTGCTTCCTCTTCAATGTGGGAACCGCTGCGCTCAGGGACCGAATGGTCATTCCTCTGGTCTCCTTGAGATCCCTGCTACCAGAACCAGCAGTAAGGTCATGAGGTACACATTGAAAAGCTTCCCCCAATATCAAATTCAACTAGAAAGTACTATGAAACCAATAATATTTCAAATACAAAACAATTCACTTTGAATCTAAACTAGGAAAGAAACCATTAGTATTCCACTTTTTCTGAAAATTCAGTATTATAATACAAACAGTTCTTTTTACTCTCATCAGAATTTAGGGTGGCACTTGGGTTATTCTGTGGCACTTTCTCATT